GTTCAAGAACCCGGGAGAGATTCCAGAATCTTTGATTCCTTCCCAACAAGTGGGCTTTGTCGTAGCATGCGTTGGGTACCTGTATCCTTCTGATTTTTTTTTAATGAGGATAAATAATGACAAGACACGGTTATTTATTTTTCTCAAAAGTTTTTAATTAATTCGGTCAATTTTCTCTTCTACCGTAGAGATTCTCTTGAAAACAAAATTAATTTGGTCAATTTAGTTAGACGTAGTTTTATCATTTCGGTCATTATCGTTTAAGTTAAATATTAATAAGAGAAATGCAAAGTAGGCTTTTTAAAAAATAAATCTCTTTACAAACTCTATCACTTTATGCTTTTTTACATAATATTTTATAGTATTTACACAAAAATTAATTTTTAACTACCCCAAGTGGCAGAGAGTTCAGCCTCACTTTTAAAGAGTTTTCTTACTATTTCTGTATTAATAATGTTTGTTGACGGCATATACAAAGTATTATACTTTATAGTTATGGAGTTTTAACTAAACACTCACAGTACTGTTCACTCTTAACGAAAATGATATTTTTACTTTAAAAAGTCACTCATAGTACTATTCACTTACAACACATTTGTCATTTTGATTAAAACTCAAAGTTTTCAAGCTATTTTCATTAGTTTTTCTTTATAGTTAATGTCAAATTAGTTTAATTAGACAAATGAGATAAAAGTTGTTAATTAACCGATTCATAAATAAGTATTATATCTTTATCTTCATTTTCATCCACATAAATATACACTATTCTTTCTCTCTTTTTCTCACTTCATGATAATTGCGTTTTGACTTCATGATATTTTGTAATACGTGACATTTCACTGAAATATAAATAAGTTAAGGTTTGTTTGGAAGTACTTTTAAAATGATTGAAAACGCTTTAAAAATATACTTTTGGGTTCCACAAGCACTTGAAGTGTTTTCTTTGCAAGAACTAGTGAAATGCTTTTTATAGAAAGCATTTTAAGCGTTTTTCCAAGATTTACTTACATTTTTACTAAAATTTATTTTAAAAGTATTTACACCATAAATGTTTTGAACCATTTTAAAAGTATTTTTAGACAAATTCTTAGTATTCGTGAGGCATTGTTAGTTAACTTTGTGTTAAAATAGAATGAAATCGTCTTTTAAGATTAGTAGTAAAATGTGGCTTTCGATCTAATTGTGGCATTTTTGGTTCTTACACAAGTTCCATTTGGATTGTGATTGTTTGAGCTTTTTGTGTGCAATGGTATTTGCGATATTGACTAATATATGAACATTTTCACATATAAAGAATGTACATATTGACACGCACAAACCAAATACAACTAAGATTTCATTATGTATTGGAAGAAATCCTAGAAAGAAATGATACGGTGCTGAATAAGTTAAAAATAAATGTTATTGACGTGCTAAAAAGACATCATTTGAAACAACGAATGTCATCTACGTTGGATGCCTTGATTCGATTATGGTTCATGACGATATACATTGGTTGCTCAAACAATTGTACTCGTAGCTCTCCATTCCCTGTCTTTTGATTCGCAACTTTCAATAGCAAAATTCTCGAACAAATGAGTTATATAAAAAAAGTCTTCATACATTTCTCCCACACAAAAATATAAGGAAAAAATTATACCTTAAAAAGCGCGTGATGATTTTATAGAAGTACCAATAACTATCTTTTTAATAACTTATTTCATTAATCGAGGATTTTAGGTTTAACAACCAACTATTAACAAAAGATTTATTATGTTTGGATTAGTCTATTACACATCTTTTATGCGTTTTAGTTTAGTCACGTGGCATTACTACAAAAGTTGGTAAGCTGCTACCACACCAGATTCTCATCTGCTTTAAGAATCCACATTAACTCTCCAATCGGATATCTCTCTTTTTGGTTTAATCGTGCAATTAGTCGTGATAAAAGGAAGTCTTGGGATCTCATGTACCATCTTAATTGTATGTAAGTTCTTATCCATTTAAACACCGAACCTGTCTCCTAGCCACTTTTTGAGCCGGTTCAGCGGTTCACGCCCTTTCAGTCTAAGTCAAACAACAAAATCACCCTCGAATACCTTTCAAATTACAAAATCACCCTCGAATACCTTTCCCCATTTTCCCACCGCTCCATTTCCACTGAGCAAGGTTCTGATCAGAGACCGAGGGAAAGAAGAAGAAGAAGAAGAAGATGATACCGCATCGATGGGGGTCTCCGTGCGGCAACCAATGCACGCACAAGTACGCAGCGCTTATGCAGATTCCATGTAAACCCATTGTCCTCCTCACTCTCTCTGACATTTTGCTTCCTTTGATTTCCTTAATTTCTTTTGATTTTCGTTTTCGTTTACTAATTTTATTTTATTTTTGCTCTAATTTTGGACATTTCGCTTGTTTTCACGCTCGAAATGATACTGATATCAAAATTATCGCGCTGTTTATGTTAAATATCGTGTTGGGTAATTCACGTCGTTGAGTGGATTGCAGAATTTTTCGACCCCTAATTTTGATTCCTGTATTTTGTACGATCAATTTTGACGAATGTTTCGTTTGTTATTACGGAAATTTCCCGGTAAATTGGGGTTTGAATCGTTTGATTAATGATTGCTTTAGGTACACGCAAGCACCGGAATTCCAGTTGAATAGTGATCAAATATTGATTGTTTAAAACCTTGATTTATTACCCTCGATCATTGTATGGTTTTCTTGTAGGGAGAGTATTTTGCAAAAAAGGGTGCGATGCGGATGGAGAAACTTGGGAAGAATGTGAGTATTAATTTGTTCTTCAATTCAGTTTTCGTATGAACATACATAATTCGATGAGAATCTATGTTCGGTTTTGTTCTTTCTCCATTTTGAATTTCCCTTTTGTCACCTTGATGTTTTCGGACACATTACTAAAATGGTGTTTCTAAGAACCCGTTGGCTGCCCATAGAGTAGACTTTGTTTATGCTGTGGGAAGTTTCCCATCTGCATTAACTTTTGGTTTGTGCATTAACTTCGCTCTTATGATATCTGTATCTGAAACTTGATATGGAAGTAGACTATTGGTTTAAAGAGTTAGTACGCTACTAGATACAAGTATGGTTTCGTACTTAAGTAATTCAAGTGATATAGCGAGTAGATATAATACAGGCTTGGAGGAGTGCAATGAGATATGCTATAAGGATCCTGTCTTAAAGGACCAACAATGGAGTGCTTGCATTGACCGTTCTCCCGGAGTTGACAGGTACTCAGAGGTATGTATCCCCTCTACAGCTTCTTCTTAGCATGCTAAGGCGTACGTTGAGCAGCGAGTAACATTTTGTGAAAATATAAGCACATGGTCATGTTTATTAAATCTATATGTCCTCCTGCATCAAATCAAGTCCAAAGGTTGCGGGTGGTAGTGTCAGTGTCATTCACTATAGTAGCCTCTGGACTCTCAATTTCTTTTAATTTTTAATTTTTTGGTATTTGGTATGCATTATGCAGAGGCAAAGTAACTTGTAAATTTTAAACTTATTGTGTTATAACTGACATTTTTAATGATTCCGACTGACCGAGTATTATAATTGTATTTAAGGTGAAAAGTAGGAAAGTGTAAACTTAACTTATGTTTATATTTACACCCTTCATCGAACAGTCTCTGTATGTCGAAAGATTCATATGGTTGCATATCATCCTCGTCCTAAAGCATGGTTCTGATCCGATGCACATTTTTTCAGATGAGTTATTGCTGATCCAATTCTATGTGCAGGAGTGTTTTCATGCTTGCGTATCTGGTTGCGGTTTCAAGGTTAGTCCGTTCTCAACCCGGTGAAGTTCTGGTTACATTTTATCTAGGATGAATATTTAGAAAGTTATAACGTTCCTCGATCTTGCAGTTTGATAAAACTCCAGACATAGCTGATAAAGTTCGTCCAAACAGGCCGGCTAAGCCTCCCCCTGTTGAAAAGCCCACCGCACCACCTGCTGAATCCACGGCAACAGCCGAAGACATACTTGGCACTTCTGCATAGTGAGAGAAAAAGAATGAGGATCCTCAAATCGTATTTGTTCATTGTATATCGTGCGGTCATAAATTATTTTAAATACTTTTATTTAAAATTAAATATAAATAGTATCTATCGAACCTGACCGCACGATATACAATGAACGATCACGATTTGAGGATGATCCCTAGGATCATCACAAAGAGGATCCGGAGAGGATCCTCCTGGAGAGAAAAACCTAACTATACTACAAAATGGATAACTTTAGTTAGTTGCAGGATTTATTATTCTTTTTCCTCGTCCTTACGCATCGACTAACATTCGGGCTTCCAGATTTTTTGACAGTAAAAACACGATGGAAATGTTATTTGTAGACTGGATTCTCATTCTGTTGTACTGGAGTTGGAGACGATTTAATTGTTATCGATACATTTGCAAGTTCAATGCTCGGAGAAATGTTTGAGAAAATAAATTAGTCAACAAAGAAATTTCTCCCTTCTATAACGTTCTACTTCCAACCTGGACCTCTATTTCTTGCTTCCAATTAGATGTAGCAAGTTATTCACTCTAATTCAATCCTATTAGCAACCAACGAGGCGTTAAGGCATATAAATAACGCGGTGTGTTTAGCGGTGTCACATTGAAAAAAAATGAAGCATTGGGTTTGCACATAAAGTAGCGTTCTCTTCTGGTTGAGCCTAATTGTAATGGTTAAAGCGAGCTCTCATTTGACTTGTCACTGCACTTTAAAATTAAACTAGTCTCTTGCCACACGCATACGAGTGTGGTAATTGACTATTTTTTGTTATTTTTTTAGTTTTAAAATATTTTAACATATTCTTTAATAAATACTTTTTTAAATAATAATTTTTGGTATTACGAAAGCTTTGCCATTTTGTTTTATTAATATTTTCACTAAATTTTGGTGAAAAAAATAAGAAAAATGAGTTCAGCATCTCTCAGAAAAAAAGCTACCAGACTCACAAACATGTCGGAAAAACTAGAAACGTACCAGAAAGTGATCCAAGACGGTCTCCGGCGCTCTTCAATCGTCGGAGAATATCACAAACACGACGTCGCTTCGTCGGCCTTCAATCACACTCACACTGAAACACACAGAAGAGTGCAAGAAACACAATCTCCGATTTGTACCCTTGAATTTAATTTCAATCTTCAAACTCCGATTTATTTGAATTTTATTTATTTGAAGAACAAAGATGCCTCAGGTGAGGATCATAGCGAAGAATTTCATGGACATGGTGGCCACCCTGCCCGCCATGAAGCTCGACAAGCTCTACGAAAATGCTTTCGTCTGCGAAGCAATTCTCAGGTCTCCACCTTTTCCGCTCTTCTTACTTCAATCTTTCTTCGCTTTCGCAATGTCGAGTTTTAGCTTTATTTGCTCGTCGATTTTCTGGTTAATTTCTTGTTTTTGTTTGTTGATTGAGTGCATATGGAAGCAGCCTGTAGCTGCAATTTTCGGGTCTCGATCTTCTTTCGCATTGTGGCACATTAGCTTTGATTACTGATTTGTTTTTGGGTTATTTTGCGTTTTGTGTTATGTGATTAGTGCATATGAACGAGCCGAGCCTGTAATATTTAGTGATAATCATACAGGTTGAATTTTCAGGTTTCGGGTTGCTTTCGCAATGTCACGTATTAGTCTTGTCTACTTGTTTATTTGGGTTGTTTTTTAGCTTAGTGCTAATCATAGAGCTGCAATCTACAGGTCACTGCCACCGCTAGCCAAGAAATACGTCTTGCAAATGCTATCCATTGAAGTTCCGGTGACTGCCAAGTCAATGGAGGAGTGGGTGCTTCCTGATGGGGTCTCAAAGCATAGAGTTGCAATTGATCGCCTGATTCAATTGAGAATATTTACAGAAACTGTGGACAGGTGATCCGAGCTTTCTTTTATGGTTTTCCAGAACAACGTTTTGAATTTGATGCTGGGTGATATCATTTTTTTTATATTGTTTTCATTTTTGACTTTATGACAGGAAGAGGGAAGCAACTTACACCGTAAATCCTATATTTCAGACTAATCTCAAGAAGCTTTTGGTACATGGGTGAGTATTGTGTCCTGTACTTGCTACTATTTGTATGTATATGAGGTTTGGGTATCAAAGTAATTACAAGATAGTGGGTTTTGCATTATGTATAGGGTTCAGTCATGCAGAAGTTTCAGGGTCTCCGTTCATTAGTTCACTTTAGCTACAATTTCTTATTCTCCAAACTGTGATCGAAACAGAGAGTTAGTTTTAGGATTATAACTCCATATTTTTGGATACTGCAGTGTAGTTTTGCCAAGAGAACCAATGCCTTCAAATATCACAGTGAGGCTCCCTAGCTTGGAGGATCTTGAAGCTTTTGCCCTAGAACAATGGGAGGTGCAGGATTCATCCTTGCATCTATTACCTTTTTGAATTTATGATTGTGTTTTCAGATCTTTTGTCTGCCTTTTGTGTACTGCGGTGACTATGATATAGTTGCATATATTATCATTTATTTCGTATTGTGAAGTTTATAATTTAGGTTTGCCCTTCTTTATGACTTGCTGTCATGTAATGCCAGTGTTTCTTGCTGCAACTTATCAACTCATCTCAAATTGAAAGGCCATCGAACATCAGTTCGTCTATGATGAAAACTTTCCAGCGAGGTCTTTTGTGTCAAAGGTCCTTACTTTTGTTATTACTTTTTCCTGCTACACAAGCCTGTCTTTCTTTTGCACATATGAAAAGTTTAACATTGTATCTCATATCTGATGTCAGGGTTTTCCATTATCTGTTTGTACAGGGATAGAGAAGCTCCGAGATTAACTGAAAGTGGTTTCCAGTTCTTGGTATGCAACAAACTGCTTCAACTGCTTGCACACATTATGTTTGATTTTTCTTAATTCTTACTGGGTTATATTTCTACCATGTGAACACCACAGTTGATAGATACAAATGCGCAACTATGGTACATCATTAGAGAGTATATCTCTAACTCGGAGGTATGGATTCATGAAATTGTTGGTTGTTGGTTCCTTTCCAGACCATTAACCTGATATTTTTTGCTTGTTATAACTCTGTACGCTGACCTTCTATCAAGGTTCCAAGTAGTTTATCAAGTACTAGAAAAGCTAAATTTAGAACTGATTTGTGATCAAATGTTGCAGAATTGGTCTGCAGGTTTATCTTTCCAGGGCATAGATTCATATTGAAAACCAAATCTCTTATTCTGTTTGTGTTCCTATGATGAAATAAGGAAAATTTTACCTAATTTGTTTCATTGCACACTTGAGTTAGAAGTTGAACGTACATTGTGACTATGTTGTCTGTGATGTTGACAGTTATCCTACACTAATTTATTGAGATGAAATGAAGGTGCAACTTAAGTTTTTCTTCACACTAGCTGTGTTCTTGAGTTTCATCTTATATCTGGTCTCTCCTCACCTTTTTTCTTTGGTGCAGGAGCGTGGGTTAGATTCTGCAGATTTGATTTCATTCCTGCTAGAACTTAGTTTTCATGTTACAGGCGAGGTATTAGTTATATGCTCTTTATACATGACTATTCTCTTGCAGTAACATATGCTTTATTGAATTTCCACTAGTTTTTTTTCTGGCTACTAGTTTTTTCCGACTGGAATATAAATAGTGCTGCAGTAAAGAAGAACTTTTCATAGTTTTCAATTCATTATTTCTTTGTAGAAAAGTGTTTTCTTCCACACGGGAAGTTTCTACCTGGAATTTATCTCTGACATCTTGATTCTATTCTCTTTTTTGTGTGTTAGGCATATAACATAAATACATTGAATGAGAGGCAGAAGAATATAGTCAAGCATCTTGCAGATTTGGGGCTGATCAAACTTCAGCAGGTTATACTTATGTTATTTATTTTTGGTATAACATTTTGCTAATAATTTCCCAGATGATAGTTTAACCATGTCCTAACCTCAAGTTTTACATTGCTGTCTTTTTGTGTACTTATCCAGGGAAGGAAAGACAGTTGGTTTATACCTACTAAATTAGCTACTAATCTTTCAGTTAGCTTGACAGACTCATCATCGAGGAAACAGGTAGGTTATTTGTACTCATTCTAGCTTTGTCTCTAAGTGGTTATTCTGCAACTGATTCCTAATCACCAAGAAAACCGATGTGCATTCCATATGTGCTACTTATGAATTTTTTACTCACTTTTTTGTTCAGGGATTTGTTGTTGTAGAAACAAACTTCAGACTCTATGCCTACTCAACATCTAACTTACATTGTGAAATTTTACGTCTTTTCTCAAGGTATGCTGACCAATTTGTCGATCAACTGTCTTGTACAGTTTGCAGTTTCTGTTTTCTTTTACTCATGAGACATGTGAAAGAATCATTGCATGCTGTTCAGATATTATTTTCTATCCGTTTAATTATGGCCTAGACATTACTGAAAGCACAAAGAGATGTATATTTTATTTTCTGATACATATAAGAAAGATGGTAGAAGAAAATCAAGAGAAGCTTTTGTGTGTATATATAAGGTTTTAATAATATGCATCTATAAAACACTTCCATGGTTGCATTTTTTGCAAAGAACAAAGACTTATAAATTCAGTTTTGGATCTCCTGCCTCTGAATTTTCTCATCCTAGGGTCAGGCTGGACCTTTCCGTTATTAAGGGGGAGAGGTAGCATTTGGCTGCAATGGGCGGTGTCGTTGTTTTGGTTGTGTTGGTATCTGAGTTCTTCTTGTTCTTGTTAATTGCTGACTTCTGAGTTAAGTTTTTATTTATATTCTTACTAGAATTTCTTCTTCTACTCTGTGCAGGGTAGAATATCAACTTCCAAACCTTATTGTTGGAGCAATAACAAAAGAAAGTTTGTATAGTGCTTTTGAAAATGGCATTACTGCAGATCAGGCAAATATTGGCTTTTCGTTACTCTACTTTTAGTTTTCAGTATAAGTCTATGTACTTTTGGCTATGCTTTTTCCTTCTCCTCAAGTTGTCTGAGAGTCGTGGAAAAACGATGGTGTACTTAGTTGAGATAACTGCCCAGGTGATAACTGCCTCAATTCTTGTACGACAAATGAGTAGAAAGATGGAGCCTTCTCGGGATGTTCTGCTTCACAAGCTTAAGAATTAAGATGTTCTTCTGAAATTGTCTTTTGTGGCTTTTTCTCCGTTTGAGCTCTTATTCTTCCTTATGGGAAAGATTTTAGATGACCTTCATTTTAGTTGCTAAGGTTTCTTTGCTGTTTAGGGGTATTTCAAGCTTTCAATGTTCTTGGTTTAATGAGCGTATATTCCCCGTGTGCTTATGGAAAAGGCTTCAATTGCTAGCACCTTTCTTTCTGTACGCACACACATGCACATCCTCCCAAGTCACATGGGAGAAAAGGGCTGCTGAAACTGTTTCCGGAATGCTGGAAGTCTAAATTTTTTGATTTTTTTTTTTTTTTTGCAGATAATTTCTTTTCTTCAGCAAAATGCACATCCACGTGTTGCAGAGAGAGTACCATCTGTACCTGAGAATGTCACAGATCAGGTTTGATCCTTCTCTATCTTCATGTTTGAATTCAGCAAGATATTCGAGAGTTCAATTTGCCTGACCCCAATCAAGAAAAAATGTCCAATATCAAGCTCAGCTATGTTCTTATATAAACATAACGAGCTCTTTGAATTGGATAGTTATTATTATGTTATGTTGCAAGGGACTTCCATGCATGTTGGTATTCTGACGTTTTCAAATTCACCCGCATCTGACAGATTAGGCTGTGGGAAACAGATCTGAATAGGGTTGAGATGACTCTAGCTTATTATTACGATGAATTTCCAACCAGGGTGACAATCCGCTTACCAAAATTGATGTCTGTATTTATTTATTTTTGTGTGTTTTATGATTTTTCTAAGATTTCTCTGTTAAAACTGCCAGGATCTCCTTGAGGGTACTTCTGACTTCGCGCGAGGCTATAATGCTTTGCTATGGGAGGAGCCAGATTCGAAAAAGATGCGTTTAGTGGTCAAGGCAGAAAACCACACGCACATGAAAGAATATCTTAGCCGTCAAAGACAATAGGTCCGCTATCAGCTCTTCACAGCTCAACACGATCATATCCTGGCAAACCTTGCTTGCACAGTCATACCTTTCGGAAGTATTAACGTTATCAGAAAACGAGGCAGAGATCTATTCTGTTGCAATCGGATGGTTGGCATGTTGCGGCGAACAATCGCAAGATGAATGCAGTATTCTGGTAATTTTGGCTGAATATATCTAAACACTACTAGGAGATGAAATATGCCGTGTATCGAAACACGGCAAAACGGATGAGTAAATTTGAAAAATTGGAAGAGAAAAGAAGTCATTTCCCTGCTTGTATTAACAGACAGATTATGATCATTCAATTTTGCTTTCCAGTCATTTCCAAATCATGTGTTATTTATTGGGAAGGTTCTAACGTTGTGTTTAGAATTTCGCCGGTAAATATTTTTTTTGATATCGCAATGTACATAATTCGGTTGAATGTACGGTTAACGTGATTTACGAACCATTTTGTGGGAAGTCCGAGGCTCGATTCTTCTCAGCATGACGTCTTCCAATATCCTTGTATTAATGACATGATTTGTAGCCAAGTGTAGTTGCCGAATGCATGCAATGTTCTCGACCTGTGCACCTAAACATTAAATTCATCTATCCGTAATTTGGTTGTTTAATTTAATAGGGCGATACTCAAAACTACTCTAATGTACAGAGGGAGGTTTGGACTTGTGTGCAAGAGACTTACATTGTCTTGACCGAATGAGGATCCTCTCTGGACTCTCTTTGTGAGGATCTCGGGATCTTCCAATCACATCCGTTCATCGTATATCGTACGATCAAAAATCATTGTAAATCTTTTTATTTAAAATTAAATATAAACAGTACTTGACAAAAACTAGCTGCACAATGTACGATGAACGGATGTGATTGAAGGATTACCGAAATCCTTACAAGGACGATCCTGAGAGGATCCTCATTCGTCTTGACCAATCATCTTAAAAAAAAGGAATTAAAAAATGAAAAAAGGGGGGAAATTTGTTGCTGCCCAGGATCGAACTGGAGACCTTTAGTGTGTAAGACTAACGTGATAACCACTACACCACAGCAACTTATTAATTGTATTTCCGAAGTCTAAAATATAACTTATTCCGTTCATTAGAATTACTCTAGTTCCTACCACACTGAAATTTCTTCGATAGTCAGTATTCCCATGGAAATTTTGAAAAAATCAGAAAAAAGTTATGGAAATAGGGGGTTGAAGTCTAAACATCACCCCCTATCATAGAAACTCTTTAAGTTTAGGCTAAAACTGACAAATTTTGTCGATATTTTTGACATATCTATTAAATATTGACAAACTGCCATATGATATTCTCTAAAGTTTCATTTTAAAGTTTCACGCTTAAAAAACAAATTTCTATCATTTTATATCGAAGGCAACTGAAATCAATATGAATATATTTATCGATATTTCAATCAATTTGCATATCAATATTTTACCGATACCGACTGATTCCTATCACCTCAGGATAGACATTATAACGTGCAACGTAGGATTGGAACAGACCAACATATCAATATCACATGACAAAATCTACACACAAAAAATCATAATAAAAAGACACATTACTCACTTTCTTAGAAATTTCCTACTCGGCACTTCTCACCAAGTTTCTTCAACATAATTAAAGTTGTACCCCTACCTCTTAATCATTAACATAAATTCGGAAACCAAAAACATCGAAATTAAACGTTGTATGCTTGCAAGTTTTTTTACTTTGAAGCGTTTTTGTTTGTCGGAAAACATTTTCAGAAGCCGAGATTTGATTGGTGGGATTAATCTTGCTTTGTCCAAGTTGAAGAAGCTTTGGTAGTCACTAGCTACTAAGATGGCGGCAACAGTTGTAAGAATCTGCCTGCAGTCAGTGCTGAAAGCAGTGAACTTACTTTTGGGAATGGTTGGAATTGCAATGATTTTGTATGGTCTCTGGATGGTTAGGGTTTGGCTGAGGGACATTGACGGTTCAACCTTTGATCATCATAATGTTGTTCTTCCATGGTAAGAACCCTGCCAATTGTTAATATGGTGTCGATATGGGTCGCTTCAGCTACAACCGTGCCAAATCCACCTTACGAAGGGTTATGCATAAATATTTTCAAAAAAGCAAATTTCATCAGTTTTTCACACATTGCTGACATATTTTCGTGTACTATTAATGGTAGTAATCCTTTTTGTTGGCGACCATGATATCGACGCATTGTTGATGGCAGGTTTACGTGCACTTCTCTTGGCGCTGGATTTACCTTATGCATAGTAACATGCATAGGTCATGTTGCTGCAAAGTATGCACATGGTTGTTGCCTCTCTTTTGTATCCTACTCTCTTTTAGTACAAAGATTCTTGCAAACTTGATTTTATCTTATGTTCGATAGATTCTAACGTGTGACAGGATGTAAATCGTCCTGTTAGTATTTATGTGTCATGTGATACGGGAGATACTAATGGAGCCATGTTTAAATTCGGTTGTCCCCAAAAACGCTATTTATGTTGACCTTGAACAAGTTCTAGTACATGTTGATCATCTTTTTGGTGATTCTATTGGAGCTTGCAGTGGCTGCAGATATACTTTTAAATTCAGAATGGGAGAAGGTAAACATCTTGGGAACCACACTTACATTATTCGAGGTGCGTTAAGCTAATAAGCTAAAGCACTGTAGTCGCCTCTTTACGTCGGACAAGGATTGTCTGTCCTTCCACTTCCGGTGTCTTCCCTTGCCATTCTGTTTTGTATGGTCACGGTTAAGCCACGTTAACATTTTATATTGTTTTTTTATAGAGATAATAAGACAAAAATAAATAGTAATATAAAATGTTGACGGGGCTTAACCGTGATCACACAAACAGGAGGGCACGGGAGGGCACCGAAAATGGGAGGGCAGACAATCCTTGTTCCTTTACCTCCAATTTTGGATCCCCTTTATTACATATTATAGCAATTTAGAATATCGTCTTGTTTTTGCCCTAGCTTAATTTGTTCTTCAATTTTCAGGATTTACCATATGACCCGACGGGAAAGTTCAATGATTTCAAAGATTTTGTCGAGTCAAACTTGGACATATTTCAGTGGATAGGTTTGTTCATCGTTTTGGCACAGGTAACTTCCATGTGTTTTTTTATGATGAATTTGATACCAAATTAGGTTGTTTATTATGTAGCTTAGCTGAACTTCTCCTCTTATTAATGTAAAAATATCGATGTATTAAAAAAAAAACTTCCAAATGTTTTTCACAAGTGAGCCCTTTAGAACTGTGTTCTATAGTCGAAACCGCTTACATCCCATTTCGAAGAGAAACTCTGGACCCAACTGTTATTGCACTGAACGTTATTTCAGTATAGGCAAGGGGTCTTTTCTTACTATAGTTTGATTCTTTGAGTGTTGCTCGCTAACATTATCAGTTGTCATCGAGACTAAATAGATAATCTGCAGGGGTTGTCAATCGTACTAGCCACAGCTCTAAGGTCTGCAGGGCCAAACCGAAGATCCAGCTACGACGGCGATGAAGAGTGTCCCCCGGAAAGACTCCCGCTCATAAACCCTAATAGTCACCCGCCGGAATTACATTATCACTGCCAAGAACGGTAATTGGAATGTAAGTATTCACTCCTAAACTTGCATTCTCATTGCTCCGGTTTCTTTTATTTTATGAGGCATTTGATGCATCACTTGCTTCTAATCTCTCTCAATCAAGCAAGTGATGTAGAACAAATGGTCGGGTGGACCAAAGAGGAGATGGACCGACGGAATCTAAAGAATGCAGCGGGAATTTGTATAGTTGGCGTTCGAGCTTCGATTTGGGCCAATGATATCTTTACAGAAGGACACTAATGCAACGGTTCAAACTCACAACTTTGTCGTAGCATATGATGGATTTTGGTCTTGCCGTTTAGACTTTTAAAAATGCATTTCAAATTTCTGCAATAAAAACAGACATTTTGTTTGTCGTCCGATTAAATGTTGTTTTGCTTTTATTTAATTTCCTAAGGCCTTTGTTAACCGGTGTGTTGTAATCAGGTTATTTAAACCATTGGTTGGCTCCTATTGTCAATCATTAATATATCAAACCTTTTGGGATTTCTCTCAAATTTTAGTGGACTCCAGAACTCGCTGTTCAAGGGATTACATTGATATCTCTTGTTAGTTTCGTCATTGGTTCCACATTATATTCTTATAATCATATTTAAAGTAGTAATCGTGTTGTTTTCCTACTTCGGTTTACTTCTTTTGGTTCAATAATATCTAGATTTTTGCTAGCGTAAATGGCCCACACGAGACTGTAGCATACCTCAAATCTCTTTCCATCTTTTGAATAAATACTAAAGAAAACACTGAACTCAGTTTACGTATATATAACTAGGGTTCATAGCTTAAACAAAATGTCTTTTCCAATTGCTAATTAATGAATAAATAACTTCCTTTTCATCAGTCTAATTAATGAACCAGGAAAGGATACAAAAAAATGGAACAAATTGTTGCAGAAGAGAGAACCTATTCAGATTTTGTTGCCTTTCTCTTCATTCGACTGAACGGTCCAACTGTTCGATCCGCTATGTACATGTAGATCACTTGGCTCCAAGATTTATACGACTCCAAACCCTCGTAGTATTCCGGTGCAATGTCCTTCACCTTATGAAGCTTGCTCCCGGGAATTCTGGGGAAATCATGGTGCTCGTTGTGGTAGCCTACGTGCCAAGCTAGGAGATTGAGAGGGCCATAGTAAGAATACGTCTCTTGATCAGGGTTGAAGACATAGTGCTCCGAAATGAAGTGACCCGCCATTGGGTGCATCCCACCGCCGACAAATGTAGAGAGGATCAAGTAAGCAAAAGATTTCCAGCCGCAAAAGTAGACCATTGCAACATCGAGGGCTACCTGAATGAAGAGGTTGAGGAACTCCCAGTAACCAGGGGGTTTCGGTTTGAGAAACACAGGACGAAGGGCATAGAAGAAGAGTTGAAGGAGAACCCAAATGGATTTCGCGACCACATTTGTCACCACATGAGCCTCAACCTTGCTTGGGATGTCCATATCAATGCCGTCTACTCCCTGGAAGCGGTGGTGCTCAAGGTGATATTTTTGAAAGGTGACGGACATGGGAACACCAATCGGGAGGTTAGCAAAAATACCGAGCCAACGGTTGTAGACTGGGGTCGAGAAGGCGAGATTGTGACTGAGCTCATGGATGGCCAAGAAGAGGTTGTGGTTGAGAAACGAGCCAAAAAAGTAGGCTATCGCTAGTATCTTCAGCCAGCCTGCATTGTGGAGGGCTGTAGCAGTCCCGAGCTGAAGTAACACAACCACCGTAATCTGCAGCACCATGATTCAATACAAGGTCATCACTCGAAAATATAATACAGCTGATCAAAACATGTAAGTTTCGGTTCATCTCAAACGAGACAACTAACAATACTCAAGACAAAATCCGCAAATTGACAAGTTGAATTAGGTTCTAGAAACTGAATTCGAAAGACCAAACTAGAACTAGTACATTAGCAATAGCAACACATTACACGAGTCATCATCACTAATTGCAGAGCTCCACAAACTAATAGGTTAAACTATGTTCTCAAAGATCGAATTGTAATGTCTTTGATTAAGGTTGTTCTTTCATTCTAAGATTCGATTCACACGAAAAAGTATGAATGATATATCAAGTGAGGAAGCACATTCACAACAATATAAATCCCCAATAGCATATGCCCAATTGTTCAAAACATCTTAAATCACGATATTTCGCTCCGAAAACTAACATCTGAGAAAGCAGTGCAGTTCTACATACTTGAAATAAACAATAACAGGTGAAAAATGGATCTGGGGACTCAAAAGTCAAAACTCAACTCTCATATGAAGGTTTTGGACAACACAAAGATGCTTAGCATCCAAATTTCGCAACAAAATTCCGAAAAGAGGAAAGCTTTCGATACCCAATTGCAGAAACGAATCAAAATCACATTCAAACCAAGTTCTTGGAATCACCCGCATTGTCACAGATCTAAAAACCAATGAAAAAAACAAGCAGAAACAGGCAAAACACAGAAAACCCAACAAAAATGGCGGACTGAATTTCTGGAAAGACAAAGTGTGGAGGGATATACCTTGAGGAAAGCCCAGGGGTCGGGACCAAAGAGCTCCTTAATCTGAGGGTACTGAGAGAGGATCTGACGGCGCCTGGAAGCGTGAGGCTCATCCGTGTAGGACCAGAAGAAGTCTGTAGCCATCGCTCCCTCCTCTTCTGCTGCCTCTCTCTCACCCCCTCTTCCCATCTCTCTCCTCCTCCTCCTCTCTCTCTCTCTCTCTCTCTCTGATTCTCTTTGAATGTGAGCTGTTTTCAATTTATTTAAAATTATTAGAATTAATTGGGTAAATTGCTGGACTTTGTTCAAATTTGGCAAAGCCGTGAAATGGGAGTGGCTAAAATTATGGGATCCCAGATATTCTTTGGTATGTGGACTTGTTTGCCAACCGAAAAGTGATTGTGTCCCTCTCACCTTTTGAGGCTTTTAGTTATATGTTTTTACCTTTGTCCATGACAAGGACACCAAAAGCCACTTATGTTAATAGTTGGTTTGGTATTGTTTTTCTTTGAAAAAAAAAAAAAACTGATTTTGCTGTTTTAAATTTTCAGTTTTTTCATTAAAAACTGTGAAAATAAGCTTATTTTTAAATGATTACCAGACATCTTTTTGAGCTCAACTTTTTTTTTGTACCCAATTTTTATAAAAGCACTTCAGTACCTAACTAGTACTTCTTGTATTGAAGTTGTTGTATAACTAAGAAGTTGATCATGTCGCATGTCTAACTATTTAACGTTGAATTATTGATCGGCATGGCATTATGTTAACAGTTATTAGCATGTCGTTTGATTTATTACTTCAATTACGCAGCTGTTGATGTGCCCGCTAGTGAAAGTCTACGCAGACACCTACTGCGATATTGTATTGGCTGCTTACAGTTTGCAAGGTGGCCTCGTCCAAATTTTTTTGGCGGTATACATTGGATTCAGATTCTCTTCGGATCTTACACTCCGAAGCTCACATTAGATTGTACAATAAAGAGAGTTATGGGTATTGGAGAGAGAGAGAGAGAGAGAGAGAGAGAGAGAGATTATGTGTGAACTGAACCAATGAGATGAACTAATGGAAATTGTAGAATTCAAATTGAATAGTCCAGATTACTATGATCCGTGAGATCCAAAGAGGATCTAAATCCTTGTCAATGTGCCCTATAAATCCTTCTCCCCCCCCCCCCCCAAATAGCATCATACATGGTCAATCACTCATACTAGCCAAGCTGGCATAAGGGTCCCACAAGCGTCCATTTCGAATGCCTCTCAGGCCATCTTCAACTGAAAGCTGGCCAGAGGGTCCGTTTTAACCCTCTGGCCCTTCAAAAAATTAATATTTTAATGAACAGTGCAAGACCATATTTCTTACCATCTCCAACCGAAGGGCAAAGGATCATAGGACTTGTTTTAACCCTGTCACAAAAAATCGTCTCCAATCGAAGGCCAAAAGGCTATAGTATGAAATGTGAAGAATTGAAATATAATAAAATAAGATAGTATGAAATAGTGAAAAATATTGAGAAATAATGTAGGAAAAAAATTAGAAATTAAAAAAATAAGTCCAAAAAACAAAAGTGGTCTAGGCATAAAAAACAAAAAATGAGCTGAGACTAAAGAAAAGCCTAAGCCCTAAACCCTAAAGTGGGCTGGGCAAATGGAAAAGAACAAAAATAAATAAAAATAAAAAAAGAATTTGGGCTAGCCGGCCCGTTGGCCCTTTAGCCCTTTTTTTGTCCATGAAACCCACAAGCCCTTCACCATGATCATCGGTTGAAGACGATTTTTGAACTATTTTCAACCCTCTAGCCTCTATACCCTCTATACCCTCTAAACCCTTCGATTAGAAATGGCCTCATATAACCTCACACATGGTCAATCACTCATACTAGCCAGGTTGGCAGAAGGGTCCCACCCATGTGTCCTATAAACCCTTCAATTCATAAACGCTTATCGAAGCACAAGATTCTTATTTGAAATCGAAATGCCCCTTGAAAATAGACGCTTTTCCAAAAGAGCGACAAACACGGCTTAAACTGCATTTAGTTGTTTCAAAGCATGCACTAATGAATATATGCTAACAAACAAAATGATGAGAACAATAGGCCCATGCGCGCCCAGTAAAACAACAGTCTACTTACCAGTTCAGTTGTCCATTATTTCAGGAACAATAAACACAGTTGACGCCCATCCATCTTCGAAGTGTTGGGTGTATCGGTCGCAACTTGGTACGAAGAAACATGAACTCAGTATTCTCATCAACTCGAAATTCTCACCACATTGTGTTCTTCCATCTCTGCCCGCTTCCGAACAGTTCCTCCATCCGTTCCTCCGTCCATACCACTCAATTCGAAACAAGGAGAGGACTTGTATGTAAAAAACTAAGCCAACTTCAAAGCTGTACAAGCATGTACAAATTTACCCCACACAATTTATAAACTCCTCAACTTCACCAGCCAGCCTACAATAACTCAGGCTGGGTCTTCCGAACAGAAGTGGGAAGATCTTACACCCGCCGAATGAATTTTCGGTCCTTATGTAATCAAAAGAAAGGAAACCAGTCCATTAAATTGCCACGGGGGACTGGTTTTGGACCGCATTGATCACCTTAGGTGGGAATCATACGAGTCAAAAGGGTTATCCGGTGTAATAAGAGGCAACTTATCTATATACGTGAAAAGCCTCCTGAGATTCTCCGTCATCACTGTTTCCATGTCAATTATGTCCCTGCTGTCGGTGTAGACCCAGAGATCGCCTGAGTTCACTCTTTTAAGATTGTCACGACAGAAAGGGCACGACTGAGATCTTGAACGCCTGCAAATATGTCAACTGAGCGTTAGTCTCACTCATGTTCATGTATACAGAGAAATGAACCAGAAAAAAGAAAAACTTATCTGGTCAGCGAACAAATCAAATTAAGAGTACAAGCTAGAACCATAGAAAATACACCATATAGAGTTTAGGATTTAGGCGACGACAACCGGCTCAACTTTTAATGGCAAACCCGTGGTACAAGGTTTCTCATTCTTTCTCGATTCAATTGCCAACAAAACAACCATGTTGGGTGTAAGTGAGTCTTAACACACAACGAAGTATGGAGCAACAGTGAGAGGTCTAGAAAAGTTCTTATCCCACACCCACAGGACAATAGTTGGGGAGATGCTTCTGCAACCTATCTACTGAACCAAGAAGCCGCAAGTCGACATTACAATCATTCCTACGTTAAATTTCCAATTACCATAACTTAATACCACTATGCTCATGATGCCGTAGCTCAAAGTGCATTTTAAATTTGGGCAAAGTTACCCATGTATTGCATCACATACGTTTTAAGATTGGGAACACTTAGTTTCATTAGTCTTAGCACATTCACACCCCTTTTTAATCTAAATGTAGGGCTCAGAGTCTTATCAACTTTTGATACTCAAAGCAACATAATTTATGAGCAAGATTGAAAACATTCCCAAAAAAATTCCCAGAAATATAGAGGAGCAGGAGAACTTTAATGTTTAAATAAGGTCACAGAGAGAGAGAGTACCAATCACGGTAACATTTCAGGCACAAAACATGGTTGCAGTTGGGCAATACAATTTTACTATTTGTCTCCATGCATATACCGCATTCCTCTTCTCTTTCAATGTCGATATCTGAACACTGTCGACTTTCCTCATCATCTCTTTTGCAATACCTTTCCAGGCACACTGCCTTCTGCCTTTTATCTTCACTATCGGTGACACCTCCTTGAAGTTGCAATAAAGAGGGATAAATAACAGCTGCCGACAAAATGAGGCATCAGTAGGAATATAAACCCTTTACTGGCTCAAAAAGAACCATCAAGTAAAAGTTGTGAAATCAAAAGTTTACCATAGAACTCTCTGATGCTTGCTTTCCTTTCCTTGGTAGACATGGTGGTTGAGCCATCCACATAAACCTGTAGCATAAGCAAAAATGAGACGGTTGCCCACATCCCTGATTGGAATCCAACTCAAAGAAACAGAAGCTAATCATAAGCTACAAGCTTTAACCTTGTAAATTAGAATTCTTAACAGCCCAAGGGCTCCTGCAAGGTTGCAGTCAGTCCATTGCACCAGAAAAAGGAAGAGATGAGCGGCTGGACTGTATGACATTCTCATCTGAACACAAGCACCATCATACTCCCTCGGAAAATCTGAGGCCCTGCACCTCATATTTCCACATAAGGAATTCAAATAGAAACAGAAAACTAATTATCAGATTAAACTACCAAGATCACAGAATTTATCAAGTCATAAAAGATAGGCTTAATTGGATTAATAGTCTCCGTGGTGATAGGCTAGTTGGAAAATAACTCACGTGCTAATCATTAACAAAAATTTGACGGAATTTTCAGTTTTGGACATAAATCCTAACAGACTTCACCACTAGGACTTAAATCCTAGTTTTTTTAGCACAAGAACTATCTTCCAACTATCCTATCACCATGGGACTAATAATCCAATTAGGCCTAAATGATACCAATCCAACTAGTCTCTATCGATAAAACCATCTTTTGAATCAAGCTTATCATTGCAGCATTCTATTAAGAATGATGATTAAGCACGTTTTTCACAAATCATCTATTTGCCAGTGTACTTGGGAGCAGCCTCTCCATAAATGGGGGTAAGGCTAGCCGACATTCACCTCTCCCAGACCCTGCGTAAAGCAGGAGCCTTGTGCACTGGGTATGACCTTTATCTATTTGCCAGTGTAACCATCCAAGTTCTCAAAACAACATAAAACACGAAAAACTGCACACATTAAAACGATCGTACAGTAACAAGCATATATATATAGCATTCAAAACAATGACACTAAACATTACATTCCAATAATAATGCACAAATAATTAAAAGCAGCAGCAGTAGCAACCAGCAACCAGGTGGAACCCATTGGCCACGTGAACTTATTCAATCGCTGACAATTTTGGTTCGGCTGCTAATGCTCACTCACAATTCATCAGGATAAGGATAATGCACAAATAAATATCTACTTAAACAATTGCTTTCCCAGAATCATGTTGTCAGTGCAAACTAATTGTCAACTATTTATTTATTTTTATGAAAGAGACCCAGAAATTACAAATGAAAGAGAAGAAACTGATTTTTTTATTAAAAACAGAAAAAATTAAAGCTTTGTGATTCTGCCATTGTTTCCAGAAAAAAAAAATTAACTAAACAGGGCAAAAATTTGATCTTTAAGCAGTTTAGTAACTAAAACATAAATAAATTGACGACCAAAAAGTAAATAAATCAAAATAAACAAACTGAAAGGTAAAAAATCTTACATTTCCAACATGAAATACGAATAAAAACGGAGTTAAAGTTTAAACCTTTAACATTCGAATTCAAGAACAATATTACCCAAAAAAAAAAAATAATAATAATTATAATTAAATAAAAGCAATTTTTCAGAAGAAAACATCAAAACTAGAAAAACCCATTAAAAAAAACAGAGAGACGATTACTTACAGAGTATTTGCATGCTGAATATCAGCTTCAAGAACTTTCAGAGAGTCCTTGAACGACTTTCGCATAGAAGCTATGTACATCTCCAAAAATTTTCGAATTCTTTTTTTTTAAATTGAAATAATTACAAACCCAAAGAGATAGAGAAATGCTCAATCAGCCCCTCCAAGAAGAACCCTAATTTTTTTCCCAAAAACCCTCGCCTTCTCTCTCCCCCTCCCTCTCCCTCCCTTTTCTTTTGCAGTCGCCTCAGCCTTCGTGTTACTTCTATGGTGTTCTTGAAAACGAAGACGAGACCGCGCCTCGACACGTGTCCGCCCAACTCAAAATATTTATTTAAAAGCAATCGTAATAAAAAAAAGAATTGTTTATTAGGACTCTAAAAATCTCATTCTAAACTTCAAACTTTCTAGAATAAGATTTTTGGAGTGCCAATAACATTTACGTACAATAATTATATATAATTTAATTTTTATGAAAAGAAATAAAATAATTTTAAAAAAAGGAATAGCGTCGAAATTTTCACGGGTGTTATGTCCACTCCCTTTGGGCTTTGTCTGCCACTTTTCCCCTTCCCTTTCTACTCGTCAGCTTTCCCTCCACGCACCCATGCGATGATCGTTACACCCGCCATCTCCTCTACTTTTTGCCCCTCCCACTTCCATCTATTTTCAAAATTACCCTTTCTTATTTTTATCCTTTTCCTTTCTTTTTTTCTTTTTTAACTTCTTGGGGTTGGTAAAATTATGTGAAATTTTCAATATAATTGTAACATTGTCATGTGTTGTTACTGTGTGATTCGAGAGATATTGTTTAGAGAAACAAAATCGAAACACATGCTAACAATTTGTAATACAAGGGTCTCACATATGAAAAAAATTTCAATATGCTGAGAACACGGTTTAGTATAACAAATATTATACTACAAGTTGAAACGTTATGTTCCTAGCAGGAACTTTAACGAAAAGCTCCCGGTACTGTTCACTTTAACGAAAAATCACATTTTTACACTAAAAAGTCAATTATGATACTATTCATTTTACCATTTATTTTGTGTTTATCGTTAAAACTCAAAGTTTTCATGTTCCTAGCCTTTATTAAATAATATTTGGGTTTTTTTTTTAACAAACGATATTATATACACTGGGGGTGGGGAGTGGGCTAAGCCTCGTAATGAGCTAGTAATAATGTGGTTCAACTTCACCTTTAGCGATAATCGAATCTAAGACCTCTTACTTACAAATAAAAGGAAATATCACTATACCATAGTACTAAATAGCAAATATATATGGTTGTTAATAATAAAGAAATATGTTATTATAGAATTGTAACGTCACGTGATACAATTATAATGTGATAGTCGCATTAAAACTATCTCGTTATGTAAAATATATACTAACAATTTTTCCGTTCATAAATATCCAAACTTCAGAGGATTTGAGACTTTATACATTAAATTAATCTAGCCTACATGTAAATGGTTCAATTAAAGTGGATAAATGGAGTCTAGTCAATGTAGTTACGCTTATGTATTTTTCAAACTATATATGAGTTTTAAACCTAACAATATTTAAGGTTAGACTTTAGTCGTATTTCTCTACTCATTCATTGTGATTGAGTCTTTGCTCTGTCAACTCAAGCTTTAGGGGGTGCTTAATGCAATCTCATTAACAAATACGGGTGATCAATATCGATTACAAATATAATCCACCTAACCTAGTCTCTTTTATAATTTTTTTTTCGTGAAATTTTGTTATTATTAAGAGGAGAGATGGGAATTCGAAACCATAATTGAGGGGAGGAAAAGTTTTGATTTACAATAATATCAGACTACATGCATCATCTTTCAACTTTATTTAATGTATTTACTATTACTATTAATTATTTGTAATGATAAGACTTGCCATATTATGATAGGTGCATGTGTGTTTTCCACGTCATGTTCCAAATTTGTGGTTTGGGAGAAGATTGAGATTGAGCGCAATTAGACACCAAAACAAAAAGTTTGGCAACGGATATATACATACATGAATAAAGCAAGTTTAGGTTTGGTGATCATCTTCTATATCATAGCCTTCGTATTACCCATTTGTGTGCTAACGGTTGAGTTTGTCATTACATCAGATTTCTTATGATTTTTTGTGCCTCTCTCTTTTCAGAGTAAGATTCTCTTTCATTTAAAGTTAGAAAAACTAATGAAAATAACTTGAAAACTTTGAGTTTTAACGAAAAAGACAAAATAAATGGTAAAGTAAATAGTACCAGGATTAAATTTTGAGTGTAAAAATATAGTTTTTCGTTCAAGTTCCCTTTAAAGTTTTATTATTTCTTTTAGTCTCCTCTTATTTGAATAATCACGATTAAGTCATGTCAACATTTTATGCTGACTTCTTTATAAAGAGAAAAGACAAAGAGAAAAGTGAGAAAAGAGATGAGAGAAGAGAATTTGAAATGGAGAGAATCCAATTTTTTGTTCTCGTCCAATATCTTTACGTTAGTCAAATTAGTATTCCTTTTGCAAGTATTGTGTATTGATTCGTTATGTATAAGCTCCATTTCTCTTTTTATCGAGGGTTTGTTTGGTGTATTGAATAGGATTGGACATTAGAGATAAAATTGGATTGGAAACGATAAATAAGATATAATTTGTAACATGTGTATAAGGATGAATTAGATAACTCATTTTATTGTGAATTATTAATTCATATTGTTCAGTCATTTCAATTTAACATTTTCACACAACAAATAATAGACGAGACTTAAATTCTTTTCAATTACTCGGCAGCTGTAAAATCTTTAATACTAGATATAAGAAAACTTGTTGCAATGATCTATGTTCCAAGTTCCAACAAAACGAAGATGGATCAATTTGGATCTTAATAGATGATAACATAATTAGCATCATTGCTGCCAATTCAAGTTTTAATTTGGTTGTTGGGAAATCATTCCCCGTTAACTTCGGCTTATGAAATCCATGGAAAGACAATCATTGCTTTTAGATTTGGAACGTCGTTTTTGTTAAAAATCATTCACATTTTCGAAAAGAAAAATTCTAAGAAGACTCTCTTAAAATGAAAATTTTTATAAACTCTCTACTATTTTAGAATTTAATGTTAATTTACGTGCCAACTGTGGAGCCAAAAATAATCACAATGCGACACGTGGATTTTCGGATGAAGAAGACAAAAATACCCTTAAGGTGTATCAAGATTTCTACACGCGAGTAACGGGCAATCATCCACAACCAAGTCAGAAATGTCCAAAATAGGTAACAGTTCAAAACCTACTTCATTCCATATATTTCTTACATCTTTTTTTCCCTCTTTTAGCTAATCAATTAGCTATCATTACATAACCTTCAAAAGATTCATTCCAAAAATATGTTAATTGGCTAATTAATGGATTAATTACCTAATTAATCCATTAAATGTCAATTAAGTCACCCAATTAACCACATAATATACCCAAAAATCCCAAAGGGCCGGCCACCCTTGTTGATCTCATCATATTTACTTATTTTATCATATTAATTAGCTAGTTAATTTGGCAATAATTCTATTTGCTAAATTAACTAGTCAATTATTCCCATTCTCCTATAAAAAGGCTCATATTTTTTCCAAAACACACTTCCAACTCTTGCTAAAATTCTATAGAATTCTCAAACACTTTTATCTCTAAATTCTAACTTTGGCATCGGAGATTCTTCGGCCAAAGCCCTCCCATTCATCGTGGGCGCGTAAGGCTCTTGGCCTTAACCTAAGATGTTAATTATTTTGTAGGTGCAATTTTGTTCAAGATCAAGGAGGAAGAAATTTACATCCACATCAACATTATAAAATGTTGTGCAAAAAATACGAAGTGGCAAAGAGTCGGAGAGTCTCATTTTTGAGTCTCCTTAACATTTCTCGAGGTGGTAGAGAGTCCATAGAGAGTCTCCTTAGCATTTATCTTTTGAAAAAAAAAAACCACATCCATTCAAGTTTAAGACACCATACTAACTAAAATTTGGTCTAATAAGAAATGATAAAAAGACAGTTAAAATAAGACTCTTTATGGATTATCTGTCATCTCACACTTAAACGTTAATTTTAGTACGAATATTATAAAATATTGTATCAAAAACATAAAGCGAAAAATAATAGATCATTGTGTCTGGTTTCGTTATTCCCTAAAAAGAAAAGCGACATAATTACTAGTCGGAGAGCCAAAAGCCAAATGCCAATGAAATGAACAAAGTCGTGAGAAACTAAAACTAAGAGTACCGAAATGACAAAAGTACCCACCACCATCTGTATATTCACAAAATGCCCATATAATTTCAAGTGCATCAATTTACCGTGCACCCACTCGTCTCAGGACTGCGAGAGCTGAAGAAGCTCAGCCGTTGTTGCCGTGAAAGATAGCAGCGCGGCCGTACAGTCCCTCCCCCTCCTCGCAATTCCCAATGAAAACCCTAATTTCCCACTTCACCGTCAACTCTTCGAATCCCCAATCCTCGCCGTTGGCTTTCATCTTCCATTTTCCGTCGCCTTCTCGGGAAAACCAGAACTTTCTTCACATTTCTCGCAGAAAATGGTCTTGCAATCCCGGAACCGTCCGATTCTCATCCGTCAGAGCTCAGTGTGCTTCTGACTCTTACGGCGGGTGGGACGACTTCAGACTCGCCGGCGACCCGGGTCCCTCTGGTGAGTCCGATCAGTTTCGTCAATTTCTGAATTCTATCGGAATCGACGATCAAAAGCATGCTTTCGTGTTTCTGTTAGGCCTTGTGTGTGCTTTCGCCATTTCTAGGGTTAGGGTTTCTTCTGTTGTTGTGTTTCCAGCTTCGATTTTAGTTTTCGCGGTTGGGTTTTCATTTGGATTTGTTCGTAGTGAAGGTGTTGGTGAAGTGAGCTTAATTGGAGATAAGAGAAGGGGAAAGGAAGAAAATTTAATTGCTAATTCTGATAAATTGAGGAAATTGGTGGAAATTTTCGACGATTTCCATGTTGAAGTTGGTAATTTGAAGTATGATATACAGAAAGCTATTGATTCCAGAGAAATTACAGTTAATGATTTGGAAAGATATGTAAAGGTCATTGAAAGTATTAGTGTGTTGGTGTCGAATGCTAGGAATGTTACTGATGAGTCTGTTAAAAATTTGGGCAAGTTCAGTGCTGAGTTAGCCGAGAGCAAAAAGGCGAGTAAAAGAAAGAAAGAGCCCGTTGGGATTGGATACGAGTTGTTCCAGTACATCGGAGGTTTGTTCAAAGACAAATTGGCTGATTCGAAGTCTGGTAGAGTGAAAAACAATGTTAAGCGAGAGACTACGGAGAAAGTGATGGACGATCAAGCTCGAGGGAATGATCCAGTGCCTTATGTTAAAGGAGTGGTTCTCGGTTCTGTTCATTCTCAAGAAGTGTTTAACGAGTCTGGTATGGATGAGGCTGGAAATGGAAGAATCAAAGTTGCTTTAGAAAATAATACTTTGAGTTCAGAGGAGGTGGATGGGGGTCCTAACAGATCTACAGCTGGAAAAGAGTTTAATTACCAGAATAATGGATTGCAATTCGCGAGCAACGGTCACGTGTCTTTGAAGATGGATCATAATAATCACACTGAAACGTGGGAATCCCCTGAAAGTCTACTTGATTCTGTAGATTTCGGTGTCAGAACGAAACAGATGGACAATAAAGCTTCCTTTGTACAAGAACAAATGCTGAAGCAATCTAATGGGGTTTACAGACCTTCTAATATCAGGGGAAAAAATGTGAATGCAACTTATGAGTCTCATAGTAGAGAAGAGCATGTAAATCGCAATGACGATTCTCATTTGGCTGATCACCTGTCTGGACATGAGAGTGAACTACCTTCCCTTTCATCTTCGTTGGTTTCGGATGATATATTGTTTGATAGGTATGTTACGGAAGCTAATGATCTTCTAAAACAAGCCAAGGAATTTGTAAGGGTCGGACACAATGAAGAGCGTGCAGAAATAGTATTGTACAGGTCAGCCAAGTTACTGTCCAAAGCCATATCTATGAAGCCCGTGAGTTTGCTGGCAGTGGGCCAGTTGGGCAACACTTGCCTTCTTCATGGAGAATTAAAATTAAGGATTAGTCGCGAGTTGAGAATGCACCTTTCGAGAAGTGACCCCTTATCTGTTGAGAAATGGATTAGAATTCAGGATAAAGTCACCAGTAAAGATGACATTGCATCACTCCTCATTAATGTGTGTGAAGAGTGTGAGGAACTTCTTGTGGAAGCAGGCAGAAGGTATAGAATGGCGTTATCAATTGACGGGAATGATATGAGAACCCTATATAATTGGGGTCTTGCTCTCACCTTCCGTGCACAGTTGATTTCAGATATTGGGCCGGTAAGAACTTGTCAACAATTTTTTTTTTCATTTATCTTGAAAAAGACTTGTTCATCAATGAGGGTTGAGGAACTATTTAAAATTGCTCAGTTGAGTAAGCCAGATTATCGTCAGTTGAATTAGGCTTTAAACCCCTTCTTCTGTGGATTTCAGGAAGCAGCTTTTGATGCTGACGAACTGTTCTTGGCTGCAATTGATAAGTTCAATGCCATGATGTCAAAGGGAAATGTTTATGCACCAGATGGTATGTTTCTGGTCTCCCCATCCTCATCCTCATAATTTTTCGGTAGATAGTTATAAGATATTTGATTCTATTTGGATTTCGAAAACCTGTAATTGCAGCTCTACTTCGATGGGGTGTGGCACTGCAGCAAAGATCCCGCCTACGGCCTAGCAATGGTAAAGAGAAGGTGAAGTTACTACAGCAGGCAAAGAGGCTGTATGAAGATGCACTCGAGATGGATTCGAACAATGTCCACGTGAGAGAAGCCTTATCATCGTGTGTGTCGGAGCTTGGTAGTAGGCGACTTTACTCTTAACTAAACCTGAAACAATACGTTGTTGCATTGGTTTCTCCATTTCGTTTTCCAAATTGTGTCCCTGTAGGCTCTCCGTGCGCGAAATGATGCAGACGTTGCTTCTTTGATATATTTGTATATAGATAATAAGAAGAAAAAAAGTGATGGACAAGAGCAGATGGAAGAAAGTTTATCACATTGGAGATGAATCATAATTGGCGGCCGAAGGGTAAATTACGTATGTAATAGGTTGATCGTGAGGATGTTACTTTTTCTATGTAAAATAGAGATGAATCATAATTGGCGGCCAAAGGGTAAATTACGTATGTAATAGGGTGATCGTGAGGATGTTACTTTTTCTACGTAAAATAGTTTGAAGGAGCATGGTAAATTTACAATGATTAATCAGGTGGTCAGATCAACATCTGTGTCACATGAAGAAAAACATCGTCATCCTTATTTTCTTTATCAATTGCAAACATCAAGGCATCTGTAACAACATTGGAAGAATTATTACCACAACTTTAGGAGTGTGATTAATTGCATCACATTGAGTTTTCAGGCTCACTATGCAAGGTCTTAGATTCACACTTGTGAATGATAAGTTTGATGTTAAATTATTATGACAAATTCATTGGGTGATTTATCTTAATCCCTTACCCTTTTAATTCTCCCTTTTTTTTAATGATGGATTATCTTGTACTGGACTTATTTTAGAGAATTAAGCTAGATTGACTTGGTATGGACTAAGCAATACAAGAACTATGAAACGTTTGGTGCACTGCTACCCCATCCGCTAAAAACATCACCATTTTATTAACTCCTATCAAATGTGTTTTCCTTCCTCAGCCATTCATTCAAACAAGAACCAACTATCTTGCATTCAATTAGCCGGATATATTAACTATGTTCGAATCTGATATTGATGCGATGAAGTTCGTTTCCATTCCATTTTCCTTTACTTATCTTGATTTGGATTACTATAGTGGAATAAGATAGTTCCCTGTTGGAACATCCATTGTCCCACATCGGCCAGGAGGGAAGAAGGAAAGCAATTTAAATAGAAATACCCCTCTCTAACTAACATCGAGATTTTTTGTGATAAAACCCTACACCTGAGGATTGTGCAGGTGGTTAAGTGAGGATAATATCGGTGTTGTTGGAGTGGGCTCTTGGTCTGTCGACCTGAAAAATTATACATTTCGTTGTCTATCATTCTTTAATTTCCGTGTATCGTTCTCAATATGTTGTAGCGATATTCCAACTCTTCACTAGTAAGCGAGATGTTCACAAAATTATACATTTCGTTGTCTATCATTCTTTAATTTCCGTGTATCGTTCTCAATATGTTGTAGCGATATTCCAACTCTTCGCGATATTCCAACTCTTCGCGATATTCCAACTCTTCACTAGTAAGTGAGATGTTCGAATATTGTGAAGAGGAATATCATTCTTTAGAGTTGGTCCGCGTGTTGTTCTTGAAAATTGTTTGGACACAAGAACTCCAGGCCCGCAGTCTTGCATGTCTTGAAATTTGTTTGGACACAAGAACTCTAGGTCCAGAGTCTTGCACGTACTATTGTTATTTTCTATGGATTCTTGTGGACATTCTTAGCATTTTATCATCCAAATATACCTTATATTTTAATCCCAAGCGTACTAATTTAAGTTTTATAGAGATTTTTTTCCGCCACTTAATTATTATTATAGTATTAGATTCGAATTTTATGAATAAGAAGTGCAAATACCACAAAAAAATGTGCAAAATGAAAAACTTGATCTAGGGTTATGCCAAAGACCTCAAACTTTCCCGGAAGACTTTGAACATGCTTGCAAAGGTAACAGTGCCGAACAAAGTTGCATCCTCTTCTACAACCCACACGTAACTCACGCGATGCGAAAGCGCCTGAACCATCACCGCCACCAAGGAGCTCCAGGGATAGCACACAATCGCCTCCGACCTCCTTACTAACCGTGCCGAATACCCTCCTCCGGATCTCCTTCCCAACCCAAACTCTTCATCTGAAGACGTTGAACAGAAAGAAGAAGACGATGACATTGACTCTTCTTCCATTAGCTCCAAAAACGCCCCGTACTTCTTCTCCTCCAATCTCTCTTTCACCAACTGAACCAGCTCATCTGGCGGGCCACCGCAGTCAATGTACGCCATCAGGTCACCCGCGGAAAGCGTGGCAATGGCAGCGGCCACGGACTCGTGGCAGGCGTTGAGGGTGTACGGGGAGATCTCTCCGATCACCTTGCCGTCCACGTCAAGAATGGCAACGGAAGTTTGCTGGACGAGGGATTGAGAAATGAGGGGCAATACAGCAGAGGCAGGATCGTCGTAATGGACGGCTAGTAAGTTTTCGGTGTCGATGACTTGGAGGGAGTTGATGGGGGTGTTTGAGGTGGGGCTGAAGACTCCTATGTAGTTGAGGAGGTAGCGGATGATGTCTTCTTGTGTGAGCCAGCAGTATTCACGGTTGTTGTGTAGGGTGTTGAAGGAGCGGTTGGGGAGGAGCTTTTTTCTTGCCGCTGTGGTCCGGCGGCTTTGAATCGGAATCACTAGGTTTTGTGCACCTTCTAGAATTAGATCAATGGCCTCCACCAAGCTGAAAATTACAAAAACAATCCAAATTAAACCAAATATAATACATAAAATCCTAAAAGAACAATTTTCAATGCCTTTTTCTTGCAAAAAAAAAAATCAAAAGCCTTACGAACACAAAGCAATAAAAATAGCACAGGATCAAGAAACAAACCTATCGTGTGGTTCCAAATGCCTAACAAGGCCAGACCCTTTTGGAATCAAAACCTCCAGCGGTGCCTCGAGCGCCGTCGCCGGAGACGACAAGTTCTCTTCTTTCCCCAAGAAGCATATAACGTCCACCATGCAAACCTTTCCTACGCATCGGCAGTCCTCTGCGGAGTCAGAATTGCAGATGATATCGACGTCGCTCTTTTTCGAGTGGTCACAGCTCCAAACGCTGAGGCTGCTCTCGCCGAACCGCTTCAGGGCCGACAATGCCTCTCCGACCGTGGCGGAGATCGACACGGACTTTAGCGGAGGCTTCCCGAGGCAAAGATCGGACACTTCTTGCAAATGCAGACGCGGTGCCATGCACGAACAAAGTCGAAAACTGAAGATCAAAAACCGAAAACCAATCAACCGATCAAATGTGAGAAGATTGAGAGCTTGAGGTTTTGGGGGTTTGAAGGTTCAGAAATTGTTGAGGAAAATAAGCCTTAAATTTGAGAATTAAAAGAGATTTAATTGTTTGTGAATTTGTGAGGTTGGAACTTGGAAGACTATTTAAAGGCGGCTGTTACGTAGTAGACACGGATTCGGGCTCTCGCTGAGAATATGCCTACTCATCTCCGTACCCTTATTTGTCACGGATTTTTCTGTCTTGTTGCGATCAGCCACTGGAGTCCGGATCCTCGCCGGATCACCTTGTGAGGATCTCAGAATCCATAAATCGTGTTCGTTTATCGTATATCGTACGATCAGAGATTATTTTAAATATTTTTATTTAAAATAAACATAAACAATATTTGACAAAAATTAACCGTACGATGTACAATGAACGGATACGATTTACGGATTCTTACCAAAAGGCTCCGAAGATGATCTGTTGGCAGCCACTGAATTACAGATCACAAAAAATTAACAAAATAAAGAAAAAAAGAAGTGTCTAGAAGAAGATATTATATTAGAAATAATATTTGGCTGTTCTTGACTAAGTAAACGTGTGAAAACTATTTGACAAATGTAGTATTATGAAAACAAGGGTTGTTTTATTCATATCTCATATTTTGTTGACTACATTACATATACGTAATCAATTCTACTTTTACTTTTTGAAATGAAATTTATCTTAATGCCCCTCACATTTTTTCCAATACTATCCTCACACCCACACTCTCACTATACACCTAACACTCAAACTCTTTATCAACATCTGAATTTATATCAATTGAGTGATTAGTTTTCTACTAATTAGGGATTTTAAATTTCATATTTGAAGAAATTGGATCAAAAGCATCGAGTGCAAACCAAGTTTTGCAAAAGATAGAATAGAGCCCTTGCAATCTTAGCAAGTGAATTCAAAAGATTCTAAGTGTCCATCATCATCAAGCCATCACGTTGAAGACTATTACTTCTCTTGGCTCGAGTAAGAAGCAATAATGTGAGGATTATGACAAGTTGCCCTAAGTTGCTTCATGAGGTTTTCAATATTTATTTTCTGTATATGCCCAATAGGTAACAACAAACTCCACCATATAAAAAACAAACCCGTTCAATTTTCTCTTTAGAGATTTTAGTCAATCGAATGAAATATTATAAACACAAACTGATATGTGATAAATGACATTACATTGAATGGTGTCGTTGAGTTCAATAGCGGGTGAGAGTGGCTTCAAGAGTTTGAAGAAAATAATATACAGTAAAAATGATTTGGAGGTGTATTCATAATCTATGGGGCCTAAATAGTCTTTTTGTATTAGAGTATATAAGTAATATTTTATGTGGGGTGCTAATAGAAAAACCCTAAAAACAAAGGAAAACTAATGAAAAATGTTTGAAAACTTTGAGTTTTAATTAAAATGACAAAAAGTTGTTGTAAGTTAATAGTACCAGGAGCGATTTTTTAGAGTAAAAATATCATTTTCGTTAAAATTGAACAGTACCGGGTAAACAATTAAATATCGTTTAATAATATTTTTTCACATTTTAAGATTTTATCATCATGTTGGAGTGTAGTATTATTGATCGGTGTGATACAATATCGGAGAATCGTAACATTGTTAATGTAACTGAAGAACTAAGCAAGCAAACCATCACGAGGCGACTCAGTGGTTGAATTTGAATTCAAGGCTTGTATTCCATACATCATGTTCGAGGTTCAATTTCTCGCATCGTTGAGTGATTAGAGAGAAGTTGAAATACCTATACGAGTCTTTTCAATCCCTATAAATGTGAACTAAGGTGACAAAATCACCGACTAGTCTGCTTTTAAAGAAAAAAATATCTAAGCAAGCATATTCTCTATTGATGTGGCAAGCCACCCCAAAGTTTATGGCTACAAATTCTACATACCTTAACCACATATATAGAATCTTTGCATGGTCCACGTTCTAAATATTTTGCAGCTGAATATCTTAGTGTAGGTGCAATTAATATGAAATACATCGTGACGAGAGAGACATCAATAAGAAAATATACTTTTGATTGTACGTTATAATTTGGCGAGAGTAAAAATTAGACGTGAATATTGATATTATTACAGTAATGGTTTAAATACTATGTGAAGCTCTTAAAATGTTATCAAAATTTAAGGGGGTGTATTTAATTAGGAATTTGAGAGATTTTAAGGATTTATAAATCCATGATTTTTACGGAGTTTAATTGATTGTAGAGATTCTATATAAAATTTTGATTCAATTCTCTCGAAATGTTATGGGAAGATGTGAGATTTATGGATGCTTAAAATACACTGCAAAATCTCTCAAATTTCCTCTAATTCCTCAACTTTTCAAAATTCTCTAAATTCTAATTTTAATTGAATACACTTAGAATGTTATAAACATTTTTAAAATTCTAATTGAATATATTCGAATTTCTAAGAATTTTAATAAACTATTTTAAAATCAGTCTAAGTCAATACAATTACGCGGTTATTATGCGCCAAAGAAAATCACACAACCCTTCAAATTCATGGTCAATTCAAGGCCGGCATTCATATACGTTAGCACTAAGCACCAAAATACGTAATTTACAAGTTGACAAAAAAATTTTGCAAATAAAACTTTTTCTTAATCAAAATATCCCCCTGCCCATTCCTTGACTATTTATGTTGGACAAACGTAACTCGTTTAAAAGTGTTTTTAAAATAGCCGAACGTGCAGTAAGAAACACGAATAATGTACTTTTTGGAACTTAAAAATACATTTTTTAAAACATTTTTAATCATTTTAAAAACAATTTCAAATAAGCCCATAACTACGTCAATTAAAGAGTGTTCAGATCTATTGGCTCTTTTCCAATCTAGCGGTTTTGGTTGCGACTTTTGGTTGGGGCTTTTTCCTTGTTGCATGTTGATTTGTTTTGCGTTGCGATACCTTTGTCAAATTCAAGGCGAAGTTGGTTTTCTTTTGATGACTACTTATGTGGTTGCTGACAAGGTGATGGCTGCTGTGGTGTCGGGCTATGCGGGATGAGGATTAGGTTTTTATTTCTGCATTTTTTAAATTGTGGTGTCGGGCTGTGTTCGTTCGATCGTATTTATGTTCGTTCATCATACAATCAGTTTTCTAAATTGTGTTCATTTATTTTCCCTCAACCACCGAAAAAAAACATTCGTGAAGATTATGAGAATTTTTAAATTATGTTTGTTCATCGTACGTCAGTTTTTATTTGATACTATTCATATTTAATTTTAAATAAAAATATTTAAAATAATTTTTTGTAGCACGATGTACAATAAATGAACATGATTTAAGAATTCTCAGAATCCTTATAAAGAGGTCCGGAGAGGATCCTCATTTTTTCCAAGGATCTTTCCAGATACGCGGCAAGATTATTTATGTTTTGTTTTTATGAACATGGGGACATGAATTTCTATGGCTCACACATCGCACACGTGGTCGTGAATATACTTTGATGACTGAGGCACATCCAAAACAAAAAAAAAATCGATATAGGAGCGGACTATTGGCTTGAATGTTTGATCTAACCCTCTCGTTAATCGAATAAGAGATTAAGAGCTGGTTTAAAAATATTTTTTAAATAGCTGAAAGTGTTTTTAATGAAAATATTTTTAAAATCAATCTTTAGTAAAATAATATTTGAATTATGAAAAAATAAACTTTACTACTTCATATGAGAAACACATAGCGGATGCTTCATTTTAAATTCTTTTGAAACTCAAAAATATTTTCTTTAAAATTGTTTTCAATCATTTTAACAGCAGATCCAAATTAACATCACTCACAATTACTACATTTTTAGTGCTCACTAGTATTTTTATGCACTTTTTATTTTTGTTTGCTAGCGAAGAAATCCCATCATGCACAAAGCTCTAGAATAAACTCGCACAACATGCATGTGCGCTTGTTTTGTTAAATCATACTTGGTGTCAATCAATCCAACTTTTAGTCCAAAATTAGAGGTTAAATCATCAAAAGGATCATATTCTAATTGAGGGTTGTTTCAGTTTGGTTTGGTTCTTTTTTGGAATGGATAGCTCATTTTATGTTCATGATTTAGCAATTAAATTGAGAAGTGTTGGATTGACGAAGAGTCAGAATCCCGAGTTTTTATTAAAGATGTGTACCAATTATTTTTGTTGTTTACTAAGTGACCGAAGTGGAAACTAGTCCATTACTAAAATGGCATTATTTTTTATGCTTGTCATAGCAATTCCACCCGTTAAGTAGGGGCATGGGCAACTCAATGGCAATGTACTAATTACTCTAAACAGAAATTGTTTTTGTGCAACTGCACTCGTTGAACAAGGGCAATAGCGATGATTTTTTGGTCAAGAAATTGAATTTATAACAAAAAATCTTAGGTGCAACCGAGTTCAGTACAATCAAATAGGAAAACATTCGAAGCCTTCATCGAATGGGCTTTTTTTGTTGATGTGGCAACTGGTGGGAGTTCACTAGCTGAGTTAGGCCCGTTCAATATAGCGGGCTTATCTGAACAAACACTTTTTTTCGACATGTGGGCCTGAATTTAAAATCACCCAGTCGGCCCCGTCCAAGCAGGCCCAATAGCGATCGCGTCCAATGGTACTCGCATCGCCAGATCGAAAGAGCCTGCAAATCGCGAGCTTCTGGTTTCAGCGAATTTCCAAAATTAGGGTTCTTCTCGTTTGAAATTCGGACTGCTACGATGTCAGATTACGAAGGCGTCAGCAAGGTTCTTTTCTAAATTCCCTTCTGTTAATTTGTTAAGCCAATTTCTGAAACTATGCTTTCTCGTTTCATTTGTCAATTCGTTCGTTTTCGATATGTTAATTTGTCGAATCGGAATGGATTTGGGTAAATAGTTGTAATTTATGGTTTTCCAGAGTAAGATGTTATTGTTTCTGTTTGTTAAATCACTTAGGGCATGAAATTAGGCAGTAATTTGGTATATTTGTGTATGAATCTCTTTTCCCTAGAGGAACCGATGAATTTGAAATGAATTACTTTATTTGAATGCGAAGCATTTGTAAAGAGTGATGCATACGTAGTTTCGGATCGCGATTTTCTGTTGAGTGTGTTTGTGTGCCGATTATCGAATGGCTGAGTGATGTTTTAATTGCCTCAGCACAATTCTCGTGGATCAGAACGTGAGAGCTCGTGGAGAGATCGAGAGCGAGACCGAGGTCAAGATAGAGAAAAAGATGGTGACCGTTATACACGGCAGTATAAGGATAGAAGTGGAAGATTTGACAGAGGGAGGAACTCGTACGATGGCTATCGCCGCGGTAGAAACCAAGATTTCGACAGGTTAAACATGTGCTTCTTAATGAAATAAACTTATCCAAGTTGTTCGCATAATCTCAATTGCATTGTGGAGTTAGCAAGTGAAATTGTTTTTCGACTTTAGGTTTGCTTACATTGTATGTTTATCTTGTAGGCATCGTGATTATGATCAAGATAGAGAAAGGAGGCATAGACATAGATCACGATCACGTTCTCGTTCTCACTCAAGGGACAGATCTCCTTCTCATTCCCGTTCAAAGAGGTTCGGGAAACTTTTACATAAACATTCACTTTCATATTGTTATCTTGATCATGACACATCCGATTGTCTTTTTAGTTGATGTGAAATATATCTTTCGTGCTCCTTTAGGTTATGCATTTAGTGTTGAGTAATGTTGTTCAAACATTATTTCCTATTTCAAAAGCTTTAGCTGGTTAAAACATAATATGGATGCTGTTAGTATTTTGTCAAGAAAGCCGCATTGCTCCATTGTAATCTTGCTGAAATCTTTGTCTACAGCAAGCGTACAAGTGGTTTTGACATGGCACCACCTGCTGGGTCAGCGCTGCCTAATGCTTCCGTTTCAGGTTTGGATCTAACTACTTGATCACCAAATTCCTGTCAAAGTATATGCAGCACTTTCCATTCGAGAATAGCTTCCTGACCTCCTGTTATTTATATGAGCATGCTAGAAGTTATCTTTCTTATTGTTTTACTCTGGAAACTGAGAGCCATTGTTGTGTTGTTTGGTTGTTGTTGTGTTGTTGTTTGTATGTGTTTGCTTTTATGGTTTGGGTAAGAAGGCGATGTTGATGTGGCATGACTACATCAATTGATGTTCAAGGGAGAACCAATGGAACGATTGGCTGGACATTCTTCTCCTTCGACTGATACAGTACTTACAGATATTTCCCTACCATCCGCAATGATGGAATTTGTTTCTTTATTATTTCATGGTATATCTTAGGTATGAAATATTAGCTTTTTCAATGTAAAAGATACTTCTGGGCTTTCAGATGGATTTCATTACTAGTGTAGTTGTGACTTATTTTTTATGTAAAGCTATACTACTTATCCTTCTGGTATCACTTCAATAATAATAATGCAGGACAACTGTCAGGTATTCCACAAACGATGCCTGGAGTGGTACAAAATTCATTACCTTTTGGGGCATTGCATGTACGTTTCACCACTATAAGCTTCTATGGGATCTTGAGTTCGATTTTTCTTTTGTGTTCTTTGTGAATAACTTCATATGCTTTTGCTTGTTACAGATGGCTCTTCCATTGATGCCAGCTCAAGCCATGACTCAGCAGGTAAATTTATTGTATTTATGTTCATATATATAAATTTGCACAATTTATTTTTCTCATAAATGCATGAACGGTGTCTTTTTCATTGGCCGATGAACAGTATATATATATATTTCTCTCTTGCAGGCTACAAGGCATGCACGTCGGGTATACGTTGGTGGGCTTCCTCTCTTGGCTAATGAGCAGGTTATAGTTATGGATTTTGTTTTGGATTCTTTCCAAAGTAATAGCAAGTGTTTTGACTTTATACTGGAGTGGCGATGAACAGGGAATCTAGGCTAAAGTTTGATGCCATTTGTGTCATCACTCTAGAATCTAGGGATTTACTTTGCATATAAGGAAGCTTATAAGCTAGCTTTCTGTTACAGGGCCAACTGCAATGGGTTTCAAATGAGCCAAAATTTTGATTAAATGTTTTCAATTTTTGAAATTCTTGTTTGCCTCTTTCTTGTATTCTTTAAAAGACTTTGATGGAATGTTATCTTTTTGTCAGACAATTGCCACATTCTTTAGCCAAGTCATGGCTGCCATTGGAGGAAATTCTGTTGGTTCAAGTATGTGTAATCATAGTCTCACTTTAACTAGGTTCAACATGCGCCTTAATGTATTACATGATTCAGGATCTCATGGGTTTTATCTGAGAGCAATGTGTTTTCCAGTAACTGAACTTGCAGGTGATGCGGTTGTAAATGTCTATATTAATCATGAGAAGAAGTTTGCATTTGTGGAGATGAGAACGGTTGAAGAAGCAAGTAATGCAATGGCATTAGACGGGATTATATTTGAGGCATGTCAATTACAAGTTATCATTACAGTATTGTTTTTTGTTTGATCTGTTTATAATCGTCATAGGGGAAGGTGTCAATGGTAAAGTACCGTAAACGAAGAATGTGAGGGTAAAATAAGAAGCATAACTAGTGTAGAACTGAAATGTTATCATATATCATGTCTATCGGATCAAAGCTTTTCAAATTTCAGTATTATCAAATTCATTAAGTTGGTTAACTCTCTTGGGTAAGGAACCCTATCAATTTTATAGAGAATTATCATAAATATGCCCAAAAAAAAAAATTTAACATATTGAGATTTGTATTTGTTGGTTATGATGGGGCTTAGGTCAGAATCTTTGGATAATGTTTTAATCATTCTTTCTGTGTGCTCTGTGGGATATGGAGGAAATATTTCTTTGTTGACATGCTTCTTTTGATTATCAGGGGGTTGCTGTGAGGGTAAGAAGGCCAACAGACTACAATCCTACTTTAGCTGCAACACTTGGTCCTAGCCAACCAAGTCCTCACCTTAACTTGGCTGCCGTTGGTCTCACACAAGGGTAGGTCGATTTCGGTTTTTCAATTTGAAGACTACTTTAGTTTCATACTCTCTATAATTACTTTTGAAGTTTTTGGATTTGAGTTGTAAAAGTCTTCTGTTGTACTAATTTTGCATTTGTTTGGCAGTGCCGTTGGTGGAGCTGAGGGACCTGACCGTATCTTTGTGGGTGGGTTACCTTACTACTTCACTGAAGCTCAGATTAGAGAGTTGCTTCAATCCTTTGGGTATGGGCTTAAATTTCCAGCAATCTTGACATTCCTCATTTTTGATAAAACCATAGTTGCATATTCTTAACTTCGTATTGATCACTGCAGACCTCTCCGTGGTTTTGACCTCGTGAAGGATAAAGATACAGGAAACTCCAAAGGATATGGATTCTGTGTTTATCAGGTACATACTCAAAGCCTGGCTTTGATTTTGATTGTTACTTTTTCAATTGTTTATTTTCTTCCAAGTGATTGTTTTTAGGCCATCTCCTTTCTCTTTTATACGTGTATACTGTTTTATGATTCTTAAAGGTCACTCCTAGAAATCTGGTCAACTAATGTTCTAGAACTTCAGGATCCAACCGTGACAGACGTTGCCTGTGGTGCTCTCAACGGTTTAAAAATGGGTGATAAAACTTTAACTGTCCGGCGTGCTACTGCCAGGTTGGTATTCTTTCAAACTAAAGGGCAAGCCTGATATTTTATTTATTCAAGCCAAGTTAGACAATTTGAAAACTTTTTGCAACGATTTTACAGCAACGGGCAGTCTAAAACAGAGCAAGAAAACATCTTGGTACAGGCACAACAGCATATAGCCATGCAGGTAAGGAATACATATCATTGGTTCCCTGTATATGTTTTTCAAATGCATTGTTGACTTATGTCTTTCGTTGTAGAAAATGGCCATGCAGGTTGTTGACTTGAATCTTCTAGGAGCTGGAATGGCAACTATGGCGAGTGGTGAGACACCCACTAAAGTCCTATGCTTGACTGAGGTAGTATCACAGTTGAAAATGAAATATAGAATTCATGCATTTTGTTTGTATATTTAGTTTTGGTACTGTACTTTTAAAAAATTTGGATTTGTGGATTATGGGTTAATATTTGATTGTTCCTACTGGCTGGTTCTTGTATTTTCTTGTGATAAAGGCGATTACTGCTGATCAACTGGGTGACGATGAAGAGTATGTCGAAATATTAGAAGACATGAGGGATGAATGCAGCAAATTTGGTATTTTATTCCTAACCTGTTTGCCTGAGTATTTTTTATTTAAAACCTTTGGTGTGTCTGTGGAAGATGTTTGATGTTTTTTCAAGTGAATTGTTGATTTTAGGGTATTTAAATTTGAGTGCCCGGAACTTTAACAGGTTCCCACTGCTTGACTGTTGCTATGGTTTCGATTGGAACTGAGAAATTTCTCGTGTGTTGGATGATTAGGAACTCTGGTGAATGTTGTTATTCCTCGTGCTGATCAAAGCGGAGAGCAGATTCCAGGTGTTGGGAAGGTAAAACTCTTGTGCTGCGTCCATTTACCATGCTCTTATTGCTGTTCTTTGCTCTCGGGCACTGAATACGTAGCTTCTCTCTTTATAATTATACGATACTTTCAGGTGTTCTTGGAATACACCGATATTGGGGGTTGCGCCAATGCAAGGAATGTACTCGGTGGGAGAAAATTCGGAGGTAACACAGTGAATGCCGTTTACTATCCAGAAGAGAAATACCATAACAGGGACTACAGTGCATAAGAGTACTAAAGCCCCCCGGCCTAGGTTTTTATCGTTTTTGTTGCAATGTAAAATAGCTGTACGTTCCAAAGCGAACCTTCAGATGTCGGTAATGGTTGCTCAGGGAACCGATGGCGTGCTAGTATGATCGACGATTTCCTTTCCCGGCCTTCGTTCTCTTGATGTTTTGATGCTGGCTTGGTTTTTTGGCCGTTTAGGTTGGTTTGTATTAGTATGAAAGTGTACAGACCGTTTAATATACTCTTCAGAGATTAATAGTGGTCTTCTCATTTGCATAGCAACTCTGTTTATGTAGTATTCTTTTTATCGGGTCGACCCGTTAACAATTTGCTCGTTATCTGTTAAGGACACGATAAAATCACGCAAATGACCCGAACATGATACAAACACCACCTGTTCGATACGTCTGGACATTAGGCACTGCAATCTCTTGCATGTCATGTTAATCTGATACGTAACTACATGACCTGTTAACTAATGAACTCTTATCGAGTCATTTTTTTAGATTTCGTAAGATAATAGGTTTGATATGATATGATTCGTTAAGGCAATGAGTATGTCACAAAAATAACATGAATATAATAAAGACGACCCGTTTGTCAAGTGTACCTAATTGAATGATAATGCTACTTTTAATGAAGTTTCATTTGGAAGGGAATCCTCTCCAGATCTCTTTATCTTAATCCACTGAATCAGTAAATCCATACTATTGAAATTTGATCAAATGGCTACAAATAGGGGCACACTTTAAAAGTTATAATAACTTCAACTGTTGAAACAATTTTTAATGACACAAATTTTTTGATTTAGTGTGTTAGAAGGAAGGAATCCGGAGATGATGACTTTCCGTTTCATTGGTCTCCTCCATTGCAGTATATGTCTTTGGGCTGTTGATTATGGTCCACGTGTGTGCGTCAGAAGCGTGGGGAACAGTCAAAAGAGTAATCAAATAAAATGTTGGACGGTGGATGACTCAGATCACCGTCACTAACAACACACAGTTTAAACCTCCACTTGTACTTTGTTTATAACTGTTTAGTTTTGGATAAGAGCGTTCGTACAACTCAACACGTTTTTGACCGTTTCCAAAACACCTACTCAGTTTTATCTTAATTTTCTAATCATCCGGATGACTGGAAGAACAAATTTCGTAATAACATCCTAAACTAACGGTGAGCATTACTAACATTTTAAATGCCGTTGTATAACTTATATTACACAAATTTAATTTCTTAGATTATAATCTAATGGATATGAATGATTTAAAAAAAATTTGCACCGTTTATTTAGCAAAAACTTTTACCTGGTTTATAATCTAATGGACATGAATGATTTACTTCGAACCAAAAAAATGTGTATTATAACATTGTTGTTACCCTCGATTCACGCCCTTCTTTTTGGTTGGGCAAAAGATTACTATCTTACTAACTTTAGTAAACAAAAAGGATATTGCTCGTCTCATTTCTTCCAATAAAAATTTTACAAACTGTTTCGTATAACCTGTCTTATCTCAATACGTGGGGTCAAGTGTATGAATCGTAAAACGTCATTGCACTCAGCTTTGCATCAAGTCTTTAGTTAGTTTCAAGTACTTTATATTTTTTTATAGTCTCTTTCAAAGCTCTTCTAGATCTTTCTCTCTCTTTGCACAGAGACTCCATCTCATAATCACATCTGTATATCTTTGGTTTACGTGTCCAAATTATGTTAACTGATTTTTTCTCGTCACGTGTCCAAACTAATACATATGCGGACGTGATAAAAGAATACGGTATAAAATTAGTTTTGTACAAATATCAAATTATAATTTGTTCATAAAGATAAAAAGTCGGATGTGGATGTACGGTGTACCGAGCCAAGTACAATCCAAATAAAAATAGATTAAGTTGGATCGAATCTCCCTAAAGTAATAGAGGAGAGAGGGTTTTGGATAACGTTGCCACGCACAGTTTCCTTCTTTCTCTCTCTCAGAATAGTATTTAGCTATATATATACCCCAACAATTACTCATTAATCTCCATCAGTTCCCTTTGCCTGTGTGAAACTATTTAGTACCATCTTTTGTGTTCGAGAATTTTGATCCAAAAACTTTGTTTGAGATTTGTTTTAGTTGGAAATTTGAAAATGCTTGCAATATTCAACAAGGAAGTGGTGCAGCCACCGCAGGAGCTCCACAGCCCCGCCGCTGCCTCCGCCAATCCCGCCAAGAAGCCTCAAGAAATTGCCAAAGATTTCATGTCCTGCCATGATCCAAACAACGCAGTTTCAGTCTGTTTTGGAAACACAGCTTCGCTTGCTTACGTTCCTCCAGCCAACCCCTACACATCCCCAAAAAGGTATAACCCCAACATCTTTTCTTTACAATTATTAATATATACTACCATGGTCCGGTTACGCAACCAACGTCTGTCGATATGTCATCGTTAATGTGTCCATGTCATGATATCACCGTGACAAAATATATCGATATCAAGATGAATCAATACAGCTTTTACTAGGAGGACGGAAATAGAGGAGTGCACAAGGGTTCAACTGAAAAAATTAGTACCCGTCCGTCTATATTCATACAATATTATCGATTATAAGAACAGACGTCATGCACAAAAAATTTCTACGTAACTGACATTTGGACGTTCTCAAATCTCAAACCATCTATTATTTATAATTAACTAACTGATGAATTCATTGCAGGGTGTTCTGTTCATTGGACAACATATACTGCATTTTTCTGGGGGACCTGAACAACCTCTGCAGCCTGATCAAGCAGTACGGGCTGTCGAAGGGCACCAATGAGGCCATGTTCGTGGTGCAGGCCTATCGGACCCTCCGCGACCGCGGCCCGTACCCGGCTGATCAGGTCCTCAAGGATCTTGATGGAAGCTTTGGATTTGTGCTCTATGACACCAAGGCTGGAACCGTCTTTGCTGCATTGGTAAGTTCCAAATTAATCAAATGCTAGAAAGCAGAGGCTCTTTGCAAAACAAGAGTAAGGGTCCGACCTCGCGAAGCGAAAAGCTTTGTTGGCTTGGGATCGCTCTTTTATAAAGCAGAGGCTGGTGTCCTTGTGAAATATCTCTTTAGGGTTCTTAGCATTTTTGGGTGTGGTTTGTTTTTATGCAGGGTGCTAATGAAGGGGTTAGCATGTTTTGGGGCATTGCAGCAGATGGTTCGGTGGTGATTTCTGACAACTTGGGGGTCGTAAAACAAAGCTGTGCTAAATCTTTTGCCCCATTTCCAACTGGTATGTAAAACGCTACCGCTGACACGACACGTTGCACGACTCGAAATTTGCACGAATAATTCAATGTGTACACAATTATTACTTTTACTAGCCTCTAATGTTTTGGTGGGTGGATCTTTGGTTGCAGGGTGCATGTTCCACAGTGAGCAAGGGCTGATGAGCTTTGAGCATCCAACCAAGAAGATGAAGGCAATGCCTCGGATTGACAGTGAGGGGGTCATGTGTGGGGCCACCTTCAAGGTTGATGCCCAATCGAGGATTCCCAACATGCCACGTGTCGGAAGTGAAGCCAATTGGGCAGCATGGGGCCAACAAGCCTAAATCAAGGAGATAAACTTACTTACGTTTAACTGCTGAGAAATAATCATTTGGAAGTTTCTTATTTATTTGGTTTAATTTCAATTCATGTACATATTTCCCTGTAATTTCTTTTCCCTTTCTAATGAGTACCTACGTATTATGAATGAAGAACCATGTGTAGTTGTTTCTCCGGAGTTCGCTTCGCGTGGCATTTTACCAAGAAAATGAAACTACCGAATCTCCCCAACGGCCATGTTTACCGTATTTCACATTTATAATAGTTCAGGGAGAAAATTGATCAAAATAATAATTCAAGGGGGGAATCGAAAATGGAGTACAACTTTCGGGGGGGGGGGGGTGGTTTGGAAGGGGATTTTGCAGCCCAAGCCAGTACAACTTCAGGGAAAAAAATGTGTAAGATACTTCAATCCAACTCTCAGAACCAAATTTGAGGACCAAACAACTGTTAGGAAAGAAATGGAGGGAGAGAAAAAGTAGTAAAGTGCAAATTACCCTTCATCTTATGTAACAATAGTTTCCAAGCAATTGTATCAGAAATCAGTAGTTTCATTAGCTACTCCGTTTATTAGCTACTCCGTTTAGACTACTTACGGTTCATCGCAAGTCATCTAATCTTACAACTATACAATTGTTCCCCAATGTAATCAAACCGTCAAGTACTTGGACAACCCTTTAGGGAAGGAAGAGATTACTGAAGCAAGTCATCAAGGGCCGGAGGAAAGTAAACATCACCAGTAATCGGACTAGAACTTGATGCTTTCCATTCAGATCTGTTTGGCTTGATTAAAGCTCATTGAGGAGACGGATCATGGCATCCGCTCGATGTTTGATAATCCTCGCACAAGACGGGAAGCAAAACCGGTAAAACCTAGGCAATGATTAGTCGAGATCCACAAAAATCTGCAACAAGTCCAGAAGCTAGATCAGAAGTGAATAATAGCAAAAGCATTAGGGGTTCTAGTTTAGATGGCAATGACTATTTTACTACAATTCGCAATAGTTAAATATGTTCATTCAAAACTGAAAAAAAAAAAAGAAAAAGAAAAAACCTAACCTCCAAATCTGGCAAAGGGTCATATGACTTTTTCTCTCTTATGTTAAACACGGTAATGCCCGTGATCTTCTGAACTCCAAGTTTAGTAGCAATGAGGTTCTGCATTAGGAAAAAGCTACTCTAAGAAACGACGCAAACAGATGAAATATGAAAAGTAAATTGTTTTAAGGGTAATAATCTCAATGTTATATTGTTGAAAGATGACTGGTTACATTTAGGTTGCGGGGTTCAGAGAGCTACTCTCAGAACAACAATACATTTACTGACATCCCTATAAAGAAATTATCACTATCAATCATCGCACTTGGTGTGACGGCAAGTGCCTTCGCCCATGAGCGGTAGGTCTCGGGTTCAAGACTTGGGAGCAGCCTCTCCATAAATGGGGGTAAGGCTAGCCGACATTCACCTCTCCCAGACCCTGCGTAAAGCGGGAGCCTTGTGCACTGGGTACGACCTTTTTTTTTTTTTTAATCATCATCACCAATGTGATAATCATTTACCAAAGATGTTTAAACTGAATCTATAAGGTGCTGGTGAAATTATTCTCCGTACCAGATTGATATTTGTGGAACCAAAAGCCTCAACCCTCGGCAAAACCTGTGTGTGGATTTCAAATTCATAAATCAGTTATATAACAAGTGAGATGCAAAATATTAGGAATTTAAAAGTATGAGTTCAAATATGCAACTCATGGTTCCTAATTTATCTTTCATCACGTAAACTTATGTAATCTAACTGAGACAACCTAAAAGTTCAGAGAGTATACAGGGTCTGTTAAAATACCGAGGTCAACATAAGCAATTGATTATAAAAAAAAGGCACCAACGAAGCCCTATAAGAAAGGCTTGGATAGGACATTCCTATGATACCATCTAAAATCGTATATTGAAACAGACTTTGGGACAGCATATAAACTTGGGGAATACTCATCAAGAACAATATTTGAAATCTGATTTAAAGCATTACCACTGTTTGAAGACCATTGATCACAACAACCTTCTCCTCAGGTGAATCATCTTGTGATAACCAAACTTCAAAGGGGCCGAGTTCCTTATCTGTCTCATTTTCTAATTTCAAATGTAGCTGCATAAAATTTTTACTTGCTCAGGTCCAAATCATTGCATTAGTCAGTGGCTAATTCTATTAACTGAAGAACAACAAGTACAAGAGGTAAATAGAGGGTGAACTGTGAAGTATGAAGTCCAATAGCCATGAGAACCTCTATTGGTGACTTTACATAGACAATCAAGCTGCAGTAATCTAATTACCAAGAGACATATAAGAGACCAAAAAGAACGAAAATTACTGAAAAGGGTCTTTCCAACTTGATGGCAGACGGCACCTCCACCACATGCAACTCAATATCCTTTCGTGTTATGGGCTGCAAAAGTGTATATCAAGAACATAAGTGTAATACCACTTAAGCTCTAGCATGTCCTACTTACACCTCTCATGATATATCCAAAACTTAACAATTCGTAAAGCATTCTAAAGCCCATAAATGCCCTGCCTAGTTGAAATTAAACTAACAATATTTTAAAAGTTAAATAGTAAAATCAAACCATATTTTGAACTTCCCACTTTCTGTATAAGTTTTCATGAGTTTGAATTTAAAGAATTTTAAAAAATAACTGTACTCTCTATGGAAGTTACCGGATAAGAGCTAATAACCACATAAACTTAAAATTGGGCTTGCAAGCTGTGTATGTGACGTGTACTAAGCTTGTACATGTGTGTGTATGTGTGTCTTAAACTATAGTGTGGACTTCTAAATAGACAGAATTTTCAGACAAAAAGCCAGAAAAATAAACACCCTGCAGATCTAAAGTGAAACAAAAAGTAGTGGACAGTATTCTTCTTCTAATATTAGTGTTAAAAAATGAACACTCACAGTTCCCATAATTTGCTGTGTCTGTAGGCGACCAGGTTCGCCCAGATTAGTTCGCCATGTTATCTGAAGTTTACCAAGAATATTGCTTCCCTCAACTTTCCCTTGGGCAGAACCATGTGATATTAACTGATAAAGATAGTTATGAATTCCTCCGCCAGATTTGATAAGAATTGGTGGCTTAAATATCTCTCTGCCATGAACAAAACCAGAAGAATATGAAGAAAAGAAGAAAGGAAAGAGGAATATGAAGAAAAGAACAAAATTCGACAGAAGCAAATAAACCATATTGTACCTTGTTTGAGAATTCTTTTCAGAATGATGTTCATCAGCTTTTAGGATTTTTGCACTCCAATGCTGAGCGGGCTCAAACTCAACTTGGTCCATAAGAAGATTTGACTTGGTATGATTTTCAATGCAAGCTTCTAAAAGCGTGATTTCCTGTGATAGAATGCATTTATCATAGAGAGACTAATTTGTTATAGGTTATCAACAAGATCACAGCAGTTACTTAGGCTGCAAAGAATAGAAGTAAACAATAGAAACCGAATGCTGTTACAAGAGGCGCATGCTTTGGCATCGGTATAACACATACGAGACACTATGTCTAAGTTTGATCCAGTGTGGCGTATACATACACGGTCATGTTTCTACTGAAAATCATCAATATATATTTAAACACCATAGCAATGCAACAAAACCAATGTAACTTGTATATGTATCGAAAAAGCAGAACTCACAAACTTAAAATCAATAATTAAATGAACCTCAACGTACCTTTACAACACGGACCTGAAAAAACAAAGTCAAATTGTTAGTTTCACTAGGATTTATGAAATGCAGTTATTCACATGTATGTGAATTGAAATTCAGAAGTGCACATGCAAATTCCACGGCGTGTGCAAGGACAATACCTTAGTCCTGACAGAAAGCGGATTGGCCACAATGAACTTGAAGAACTGCGGTAGATATTTACGCTCTCCTTCCCCGTCATAGTACAATGCAGTGCATACCAACCTATAGAGATTACAAAACCTTACCACAATCAAACAACAAAATCATAATACATGAGTTTCGAGGACTGAGGAGGAGAGCTTACGTGTGAGCGCCGAGTTCCTTGACATCATGTTCAACAATGAAATCATAACGGCCGCCTGCACGTATGGATTCAACCGGAGATTTCGACGTGTCCAGCAGCAAAAGCCTCTGCCTTTCTGTTTGCATTTCCGCCTGCAATTCTCAAAGTTAACAAAAGATTAAAAATTGAACTGAATTGATTTAACATGAAATAATTACGGAATAATGGAAAATAAAGTCCAAGAATTTGAGATTAAAACCTTGATTATAATTTCCCTGACTTCGAAATTGGAGCTGTTATTGATGCTAATATAGCTACAAAATGTCTCCCCTAAATAAATTGCTCTGCAAAATCACAACTTTATTAACAAATTAAGAAATAAAATGAGGGTAAGGGGAGGGGGGGGGAGAGAGAGAGAGAGAGACCCGAAGGCTTGGGGGAGGACGAGGAGGCCGGAGAGGCCGATGGAGTCGGAGGGGTGGTGGAGGAGGAATCGGGTGCGGTAGGTGAGATCGGAGGAGTCGGAGGAGGCGGAGGAGGAGGGGTTCGAGGAGGCGGGGGAGTCGAGGAGGCGAGGGAGTTGGGCGGCGGCAATCGGGTCGTCGAAGATGTCCTCGCCGACGACAAGATCGGCGGGGTCGAGAAGGAGGGGAATGGGGTCCACCTGGAATGAGGGCTTGCACAGCCTCATCACCCGGAAGGCTAGGGCGTGGGGTCCAGCTTGAACGCTGCTCATTACTGCTTCCTCGTCGTCGATTCGCCGGCGTCCGTCGAAATCAACCGAATTTTCGCGCTTCCGAAATTAGAGCCAGTGTGACGAATTTTGACAATACTCCTTTTTCAACTGCGTTTATTGGTGTGTTAACAGTAACTCCTCATCGTTTTAACTTTTAACCACTTGGGAAACTCTGGTAAGTAAATTTGACGGCGGTAAAATGCACCTTAACGAGACACGTGGTGTTTAAGTAGCCGTTCTCACGTGGGTGTCATAAGGATTTGGATTCTCTCTCCTGCGGGTCTGAATCCTCCTGACCCAATAACACGGGTAGTTGAATTTTGATCTAAAGGCTACAAATAGGGAACCTCTCTAAACGGTCCGTATTATTAGGTCAGGAGGACTCCGACCCCTGCTCATGAGAGGATCCAAATCCGTGTCATAAAACGATTTAAATTAATTAGAAGTGTTAATAGTATGATAGAGAAATAATCTCAGTGTCACATAATGTTATTAATTTATGCGTTTAGAAGAAAATTATTATTAATGTAAAAGCTAGTTGATAAATGCGTACAACATAATCCGAAATTCAACCCAACATTGATAAAGAACTGGCATTAGAATAAGAGATAGAAGCTAGTTGATAGGCGAGCATAACATGTACAGAATTTAAACTTCAAATTGTTCCAAAACTAAAAAGAGAACTATCACTGCACTGAAAATTACTTAACAAACAGAGACACAAAAGAGATGATTACGGGTGCATTTTTGCTCAGCACCCTCAAGCGGTGGAAATGCTCGCCACTATTAGATGAGTTTAAATTTTGAAATTTGTATCTATCCACTATACAAATCTCAAAATGTAAACTAATCTCGGTAGTGAATAGAGCAGTGAGCATTGCCATTGTGGTCAGCAAAAATATTTCTCCTATCCACTATACCAATTAGGATTAGGAAAAAGAAAAGAGTGAATATGTTTGTATTGATTTGCTTCAAAAATGTTTACAACATAGAAAACAGGAACCCTACCAACCACCTGCCTTCACAACCCCACGCCCAGAAGAACGGCAAAGTTCGTGCAACTCCAGTGTTAAAACTACAAATCTAGCAACCTGGTAAAGCAAGTGGATCCACGAGAGACATTTGCCGATGCTACCATCTCAACGACGTTCCCTGGCGGCAGCCATTAACGTTTACATATGCGTATCATATGTTATGTTCTCACTCCAGGTCAAATGGATCCACGGAGGTGGTCAGTGAAGATGATATACAACCTGCAAAACGGAAACCCTAAAAGAATCGTAACTCGGCAGCAGTTGCAGATGTGAAGGAGAGTTTTCCGTTGCAAGTAAGAATTTATCATTAGACAGGAACCCGAAAATAACGAGCAGGGTGCCCCTGATTTCTTTTGACCAACAACCACTCACCAAGGTAACTGACTGCCTTAACGAACGCTTGTACTGTATATGTCCAATCTGCGCCATATGACTCAGTCGTCAACGATCAGCAACGGTTTATGCATGTCCACCTTGGAACTCGTTCATTTGTAAAAGGATTAGGAACTCACCTAATAAATAATTCAGTCAGTTCAGTCACCTATACAACTCGAACCCATGTTCCGCCACACATAGGACAGCAATAAACCCAGCGGCTGATCCACCAAGTCTCCCGCCCAGTTTGATTCGCTGCAGTAGCAGCATCTGGGGAAGCAAAAGCTGACGTCTGCCGCAAACATCTTATGCACTGCATGCACACGAGTACAAAATAAGATTCATAGGATCACTACCAGTTAAGATGGGGAGACAAACAGCATTGACTTTTCATATCAAACCTTGTACCAAACCCCTTCAAGCCCAGTCTTCCATACGGCAGTAACAACATCTCTCCGTGAACCCATTATGCCCAGATATGCCCCTAGACCCACAGAAGTATTTAGGCCAAAAGCTGCATCTCTTTCAGACATCCTGCGCTTCCTTGGCCACAGGCCATGGGCTCCATAATAAACATCACAACTTTCCAAAGATCCAGAATCAGGTAGGTCTGAAGAATTACATAGCTTGGGGGTATCATCTTGAGGGCCCATGTCATCTGGATCAGACCAAGGCCCACCGTACATGTTGCGCCTATGCCACTCTTCGGCTGGAGGGTGGAGTTCTAACTCTCGGAGTAACAGACCAGCAGCATCTGCACCTCTAGGCCGGGGCATATTCTGTATAGCCCATCAGAAACAAGATTGTTACTATGAGATTTCAGATTGTGATTGACACTAAAAAATTAAGTAAAGTTACTCTTAAAGATTTTAGAGAACTTTAAGCAAAACAAGAAAGTTAATCCTCCTTTACAGAATAAAGTTGCAGGCATTGAGTTTAGCAGCATTATTGATAAGTAGAGCAGAAACCATGCCACTCCATGATCATGAGTGGTAAGGAATACAACTATACCTGCATATGCGGGCCAAGGGATGCTTCAACAACCTCCGGAAGAACTGTATAATTACCATCAATATAATGCAGCCGCACCTGAATGTTGCTACTTCCCACCTGAGAAACTGGCAATGGATGTGCCAGGCTTGCTGTTCGCCGACAAAGATCCATAAGGATGAGGAAAAGGACTTTCACCTGCAGGACAGCAACAGAGTGCATTACATCATTCTAGCTTTTGCTTATCAATTTTCTATGATGAACGGAATTATCCAATTAATTCAGAACACCCTTATAGTGTGTCAAATTTCCAAAAATGAGACATAAAGATTGAAAATCCCATTCACAGTTCACAAATCAAATAATATAAACCAGATATAAACAACTAAGGCAACATGTAATTTTTTGTAGAGGTCTTGGACGAAGAGAGCATCAGTTTCTACCTCCTCAAAAGTGTAACCCTGACCAGCATTTCCAGCACCCAATCTTGACCTTCCAGCAGGTCCTTCTTCAACTCCTTTTGCTCCAGGTATCTGACTGGGCCGAGCTATCTGACCCTCCTCCGGCCTGACCATGGTTGTAGATGATTTTGCAGAAACAGAACTGACCTCCTCCACCTTCCCAGGAGCACCAGGTTGTGGCTTTTGCATATTTGAATCAGCATTTCTCTGTGCTCCCCCCGAGAAACGGGGTAGCTGAGTTCGCCGAAAGAAAAAACAGAAAAGCAAAAGCTGGCATAACCTATGAAGGAAATGGCAATCCCCAATTAGCCTAACGGCAGGTGTACCAGGAAAGGTTCCTGTGTTGATACTTATTGGCATGAAGGAAGATGGCCCGCTAATGGGGTTTGGAGTTGAATTGGAAACTCCATCAGAGGTGCTACTAATCTTTGCAATGGCACCTTGAACCCAAGCTTGCATCTGGGTGTTTCCTGTAGAATTTGTGGTTCCACTTTGACCCCCTGAAAAACATAGCACGACATTGTCAAAGAAATGTTGCATTGCAGATAACGCAAAACAAGAAGTAAATAAATAAGTATAAAATTCAAATGCTGCCTGTTTCTCCTAACATAAATAACGGCAAACACCTCCTGAGTAAGAAAAATCATGATACTTAAACCCTAAGATGCCTCAGAAGCTAGTCTAATTTCCAAATGGTATGGGATTTTTTTAAAGAACCATATCTGGTCAATCCTGATGTAAAAGATTATTTACGCGATTTTCACAGAAAAAAATTTCAGACTTCTTTTGCACCTGAATCGAACTATAGAAATAATATCTTCAGTTTCCATAATGAGAAGAAGAATGCACACTGACCTTGACTGGTTGCAGGAGAAGCCGAACTTTGGGTAGGACCAGCCACCATATTGCGGTTGCTGCCAGCTCCAGCAGTAACAGCATGGCTAGCCAGTGTGCGACAAAAACTTGCATAGCGCCGCAAGCGAGTGATGAAATGTGAAGCTAAATCAAGAACTGCGTCAACGTAAGCCTGTATTATGTGGAAAGATTAGGTAAGCGAGATTTGAAGAAAATCATACAACAATCCTGGGACACGTGAACTGACTGGAGGAAGGTTCAACCAACCATCTTCATAACCATACATGGACTTTACAAGCCCAAACTAGCTCACGCATTACTTCTACTATTTATTTCATAGAAATGAGGACCAGGTCATAACCATAATCATGCACCTACATGACTGGATTCCACATTGTTGACAATAAAATATACATTTCAATAAACCACCAATTGAAATGTAACACAACCACCAATTATTTGTCAAACTTTTAGCGACGGCATGACCATTTTTCAGTGTATAACTTTCAACAGACGAAAACAATAAGTTTTAAGATTAAGAACAGTCAACAGAAAACCTGAATATGTGGAACTAGTGCTGGTTCAATAGCCATTGCTTCAGGATCAATGCCTGATAACATTTCGCCAGATGCCTGCCATGGCTCTGGTACCAAAGCAGATGGATTTATTAACGCTGATTCTATTCCTTTCCCCAGCATGTCAAGCAACAACCTGGCTTGCATGTCTAAAACCATCGCCCTAACTTCTTGTGCATTTGTACCTTCCAGTAGCCTGCACTTTATCCTGTCAAGACTCTGCATCAAAACAGAATAATTTTCTTAGTCAAACAACAAAAGTAGTCAACAAAGACGTGAAACTGAGGCTGGAATGGTAAGGATGTGTGACTGAACTACTAAACCCTGTCCTGAACCTAAAAACAGGGATAGAAAAGGATAATAAAAAGGCAGGATGTAGCCATGCAACAGCATGAAAAGTTGATTGAAAACTCGAGTCTTTAGGCCAAAAAGTCATGCGCAAAGCCTCAACTTCAAATTATAATCTAGCCATTTTCCCATCTAGTCAGTTTCCCATGCAATCTGTCTTAAAATATCCCAAAACAACTTTTTCCTTATAAGACACGCCAAGATACTTTTACAATCTCCAGCATGGGAAACAGGGAGGCCATCTAGGTGATACTTTGCTTGAGCAAATAAGAAGCAAGTAGAATTGTCAACACCTCTTACATGTAATGCCAATAGCCTTTAACAGCAAGAGAGTCAACAATACCAGGCCATTCAGATAAGAAAAGATTATGGGATCTTGAATTCATTTAAAACTCAGCACATATAACTACTTGCACGAAACAAATTATATTACATCATATCTGAAAGTTTTTATCAAAAAATTAGGGCCATCCACCAG